GAAAAGATTACAGAAAAACCTTTCTGCATTTTTCAAATAGCATTAAACATTCTAAAGGGGAAAAGATTATGTATAGAGGTATATATCAATTCAGCTACATGTTGTTAGACTAATGATGTCTCTGCTAGTGGCAGAGGGTCCCAGGGGAGGCAAAGAGGAATGGGATGCATTTAAAATGAAATTCAGGTCCAGCATGCAATCTGATTATCCATCTCTGTCTCTCTCTATCCCCGCCTTGTCTGCTTGACCTGGTTAAGGCGATCCTGCCTCACAGCTGCTGCCACCCCCACATACATCCTTCTTTATAATCAACTGACCCACTGTCTCTAGAACAGAAAAATCTTGCATCCTGATTATCAGCAAGAGACTACAGTCTAGTATCTTCCTTATAGGTCATAATAACGGCAACAGCTTCCCAAAGACATATGCTAGTAGGCGTAGGATGGGAAAGGCAAAAGCCAACACAGTCTCAGAAGTTGTAAGTAGAGTCAAATGATAAAAGCAATGAGCTCTTCATAGATTTTTTTTAAAAAAACTTTTATCAAGAGTCAATTTTCCCAACTCACCTGCAAATACTTTATGCATCTCTATGATACATTGGGACCACAGACTGCCATATAATGAATACATTGAAAATGTGGTTGATTCCATTTGTAAAGCATGATAAACCCCATTCACAAGGTAAAATCCCACATGAATTAAGAGTCATTGGTTCAAGCTGATTACAGTATACAGGTAATACCATTATTTCTTTATATGTCCTCTTGACATTGGTGTTTACAACTAGAACATGAAGATCCTGTTCAGAGCATGGCTTGAGCAGGAGAAGATAAAACAGTGACGGAGTTCCATGGGGTGTAAGTGTGTGTGTCATACAAAAACAGCATGTTGAGCCTATCTTTTACACTTTACTCAGAAGAAAAAATGTTGTACTGCATTGTTGAGGTTCTTCTACACTAAGGGTTGACAATATGTACCATCAGCGATCCAAGTTTTCAAAGCTAAAATTATAGTCCAAATGCTTTATGGGGCTCAACTGTTCACATATTTTAATTTGAAGCCCTTGGAAATAGGACTTCCAGCTTGATACTGCAACAAGACAGCAGCAGGAGGACAGAACTCCATCCCCTGGGCTGAATTCTGACCTGTTTGGGGATTAAAACCACCCTGAAGAGGTGGCAAAATGGGGGGAAAGCCTGTTGATTATGGGGGGAGGACCGTGGTTGCCCACGTTTGATCCAGGAAACTCCCTAGTCAACCAGCAGATAGACACATGTAGCTGAATTAGCTTGCTTGCAAGTCATTGGTAGCCAGCAAAAGAAGCGATAAATCAGCCAATTTAACATAGTTGTTACCACTGGGTGAGATACAAAATCTTAACTATAACTAACCCTGGATGGAATAATCCCTTTAACAGAAAAAAAATTGAGCAGCGGTGGATCTGGAGAAGGGGAAAGAGATGCAAAGAGACGCAAAGAAAATAAATTGGACATTAATTAAACACTTAATTATACTTCAAGGAAGGAAGTTTGGTATTACTTTGGTGTTAAACTTAAGAAATTTTCCTCTTAAAATTATTTTAGCCAAACAACGCTGGGAGTTAAACTGTTATGGCTACCTACAACGTTGGGGGGAATTAAACTGTTATGGCTATCTACAATGTTGGGGGGGAAAAACAGAACATGACCATGAATACTCATACTTGGAACTCTGTTTTGACTTTCCTTTTTCTCTCTCTGAGAACTGATTAAAACATAGACAATTAACTTTGGAAAGTCTAATGCAAACATCGAGTGAACAGGGCTGTCAACGTACGTAAGAGACTGGATTTAAATTAAGTGGACTAGTGGAGTAGAAATAAGGGATCAATTTACTAAAGTGGACTTATTGCAGCAATTATTGATGGAACTGGACTGACTGCTCTAAGCTACTGGACATGTTTTACTTGAAATAGAAGTACTTGGCATCTTGGGATATAATGCTACAACAAGGGAAATTTTGGGATGAAACAAAATCTAACCTTCAAGCAACCTTAGAAATAGTGAGAGTCCATAACAAAGAGGTGAAATCATTCAAGGAGTAACTAAAGAAGGACTATATTCAACAGGAGAGAGGGAATAATGAACAAGGAAAGGTAAGGTTGGAGGAAGATGTACGTATGACACCCAAAAGAAGGGCTGGAAGAAACCAGAGAGAAAAATTTAGGAGATTTAATTCTAACCTAGAGCTGAGGAGAAGATAAGGGGAAGATAATGTGTTAAGGGAAGATAAGGGGAGAAAATCAGCAGAATTAAAAATAGCCTGAAAGATTTATGGGAGATAGATCTAGTGTATAAAATGTTTTCAGATGACACAAGGGATGGCAGAATGTTTAGGGAGATAGAAAGAAGAATTGGGAAAAGACAAATAAGAGAAGGAGTTACTTAGAAAGATGGAAAAGGGAAAAATATTAAGGTGGGCCTCAACATTGAAAGCATGTATATACTTAACTTCTGGAATTGTACAGGGGCATATCTAAAAAGGGGATTAAACTGAAATAAGGGATAATTAATCAGGGTAAAGGCATAACACAGTGGTTTTTAAGTTAAATTGAAGCTAGATATAAGGATGTGGCAAAACAAATAGTATTTAATTAATATACATTAGATATGATATTGATATAGACATGATAGAAAATGTGGAGATAGAAATGGCTAAACAATTATATAAAGAAAATCTGTATAAAATGCTTTAGATAACATCTATTATGTATTAGGGACCTACTCAGTTATTATTGGTATAAAACACAAAGTTTGTCAGTTAAATCGCCTCAAAATTATATAGATTTGGAACCAGAATTACTTTTATCCGGTATGTTTCTAGAGGATTTTGAGAACAGTGTTTATTCTTGAGAGCAATATTATGATAGTATCCAATATTGTATACTAAAATAAACACATGAACAGTTTAAAATGTATAGATTTTGAAGAGATAACTAAGAAGACACCAAGACACAAAAAATAATTGTAAGCAACCCATGTAACATGATGTTTAACAAGCACAAATTGAATGTAGATAGACTGAAAAATTAGTAAAAAAAAATTTTTTTAACAAAAGGAAATAATAGACCAAGTTTTTGAGAGGGATCTTCGTGGCACCTCTATGTGTCTTGAATTCCACTTTGATTGGAGGCAGGGTTAGTTTCCATCAAAGCCTGTGCTTTGGGCCACATGTTTAATTACTGGTTGAAACTTAGTTTTACTCCAACAGGTTTGATATTAGCAAACATCTTCCAGTCAACTTGGAAGAGGAATTTGTTGGATTACTGAGGCTGGGCTTCTCCCCAGGTGTCCTTTTAGCGATGGGCCATGCCAATTCCAAGGCAGCCACCAAAAAGAGGGTCTGGGATGTTGAGCTCCAGTAATATTTAGCGGTGCTGCACAAAACTTAAGTGTATTTAGGAATAGTACATTTAGATTGCCTGGTTACGTATTCAAAATAACAATCCCCAAACTTAAGAAAGCTTTTATGTCAGCTAGGTTTAATGTACTTCAGTGTAGACTACTACAAGGTAAATACCAGGGTTTGGCAATTGCTAATAAGGCAATAAGGCAGTAATTGAGGGTGTTGATCATGTCCTCTTAAAGTGCTCCTTCTATCAAGATACAGTATTAGGAGGGATCTCCTCCAGCCCATATTGCAACAATTTCAAGGAAGGTCCAGAGACTTGCTCTCAGACAAGAAATCGGCTTGGGCATGTTGTGAGAATGGCTGACAGTCGGATTCCAAAAGATCTCCTGTATGGATGATTAGTGCAGGGAAATCGCCCCAGAGGGAGACCACAGCTGTGATACAAGGATATCTGCAAGCGGGATCGGAAGGCCTTAGGAATGGACCTCAACCAATGGGAATCTTCAGCCTTAGGAATGGACCTCAACGGATGGGAATCTTCAATATCTGAGCATTCAGCTTGGAGGCAGGTGGTGCATCACAGCCTCTCCCAATTTGAGAGGCCTCTCCCAGGAAGCAGCTCCTCTCCCAATTTGAGAGGCCTCTCCCAGGGAGCTGGTCAGGGGACAGAACGTATTTGTCTTCAGTGTGGAATGGATTGTCACTCTTGAATTGGCCTTTTCAGCCATACCAGATGCTGTTCCAAGACCCCTATTCAGAGCACGTTCCCATAGTCTCTCGAGACTGAAGGATGCCTACTACTTAGGATGATGAGACTGGAGCCGGTACAAAGTTTACTGAACTGATTTACTGATCTCAGTCCTGTGAAATTGTGGAGTTTCTATAAAATTTAGTCATATTGCAATAGATTGTATATTTTTAATTGTATTTTCGTGCTATACTAATATTTGAATACATCTGCTGGTCAGTGACCATAATAAAGATCAACCAATGAAGCATCTGCAGGAGGGGGAGGCTTGGAACCAATCCCATGCAGATACAGGGGTGCTACTATATATAAAATTACTACTTTCAACATTTAAAAAATAGTAATAATAAAATATAGAAAGTAGCCTTTTAGTTCCGCCCCTTGGGAGTATTAAAAATTGGCCCTGCTGAGATCACACATGACTGATTTAAACATTGCTGAGGTGTATGCATGTGCCACATACCTCATCCTATTTCTACAGATGTTTGCTTCCAGATGAATTGACTATGGTGTGGAGGGGAGACAGGCACATACTACACTATAGTCAATACTGTGCCCAAAGCCCACACAGACTAAACTACAGAAACCCAGGAAAAAGTACAGACGTGTGTACACAGACACACACCCATATAACATTTATAAAACATTAATATTAGACTGACTGTTGTTTTAGTCATACTCTGAGGAAACCCACTAAAATCAACAATCTTCTAATCATGCCGAATTTACGTCTCACTGACATTTAGAACCAACTCGTGAGATATATGAGATATAAGAAGCTCTCCAGTGGGAAATACACCTCTGTGGAAGAGATGAACTTCTTCAAAGTATCCACTTGAAACAAAAGACACAGATATGCAGATAATTCACAGGTAGTTATTTTAATCAGTTCATTTCTTAAATTATTCAGAGCATCATGAAACAAGTGGTACAAGTCACAAGCCTTCTCCCTGCCCCAAATGAATGGCAGAAGGCGGAAAAAGAGAAAGTCGGAATGAAAGCGGGAGATGCAGTGAACAGCAGGAACTGAACTGGCAATGATTCTGCATGATAGTTGGAAATTCTAATAAAAACTCACTCTCAAGAATCCCTAGGAAGCCACTCTGGTCTGTTACAGCCATTCCCAAGGCCACACTCCTTTATTGTTCCTAAAAGAGAATATGTCTTTAAAAAAAATGCCAAAAAGTACCTCAAACTACGAAGCGAGAAGGAACAAGAGAGGGCCCCATAGTCATTTTATACAAAGAAATAGCACAGACAGTTTTAAAAGCTTCCACGGAGACTAGTGGAGTAGAAATAAGGGATAAAAACGGGAATGGGTAGTTCAAATTTAGTTTCCAGTTACTGAAAAACAAGGGACATGTGGAAATGAGGTAACGAGCTTCTAAATACTCTCTTTGAAATGATCACTTAATAAAATTCCATGAAGTGTTAAAACTGGCTGGAAGAGATGAAATGAGAACTCAATATTGTTTCCATAGTTGTTATCACATCAAACATATGGGATTTAATTTTGCAAGACTATTAGTTTGGCTATTAGTTTTGTTTCTCAAGCAAACAGTGTGATTTCCTTCTATTAAAACCATTCTCCATGTCAAATATTTGCACAGGACGTTCCTAGGGAATAGCATCAGAACTGCCATGAGCAAGACAAAATGGATGTTGAAAATTGCTAATTTTAGTTTTAAAAATAAAACTGTAGCTAACATGTAACGAAGAGGTGAGTGCACTCTTTGACCCTATGTGTGCAACCAATAGCCTTATCTAGGTTAATATATTTAGTTGACATCCGAGCAATTCACTGTGGCACAGCGAGACCACAGCAGCAGCTTGCACCACTCCTGAGTGGCTCAGTTGCCTGAGGTTTCTTTAACATACTGTTTTATATTTTATATTGAAAAGAAAAAAGAAAGGAAAAAGGAATAATCCAAATCCCATCTGAACACATATAAGGCTTTTTAAAACCACCAGAAAGTTTTCTCTCTGTTAACCAGACCACACATCATGCGAATACAAAGCACGCTATTTAAAACTGTGTGCACTACGTATATTTTTAAGCCAGCATTGTTTCCAGGGCACTCACTGATTGTGTTTATATCTAAAACAGAGGAAACAACAGCAGAGGGCCAAGAATGTAAAAGGCAGGCATCCTGGAGCTTCCAATAGAATCATGGAATAGTCCGAGGGCATACTCTTCCATTGAAGATTTGCTCCACTGAAATGGAAAAGAGTTGCACAAGAATACTGTACAATTCCATTCATTTCAACTGGAGCTAGCCCTAGAGCAGTTCCTAGTGGACTGCATCTCAAAAAGCTGAAACCTGTAAGCCATTTTCTCCAAAAGAGTGCTCAAGAATAACTGGCTGTGGAATGTAAATCTAAAGTTACTCAGTCCGTTAGCATTCCCTACCCCCACCTCAAAGCTTCTTTATGCTATCTCAGAAAACTGCAACATAAAGATGAAAAATCAGTTTGCATTAAAAAAAATCAAACCAAACACCTCCATCTTGATGTTCAAAGAGTAATCTGGTCCCTGTGTGTTTCAGGAGGACGCCTGGAGCCAACATCTATACCTCTAAAAGAAGGGAAGTGTAGCACATTTGCCATATTGGCTCCTATCTTCAATTAAAAATGCCAGATAAGGAAAACAAAGAGAAGGCAAAGGAAGAGTTCTGCTTCACTGGGCAGGCGCAGATGCTGCTCCAGCAACAGGGGCACAGAGCAATGGCACTTCACTCTTTAAAAAGCCACACACAATATAACCGCAAAGAACTGGCTCCACAGAATTGTTCTTTCAAGTATTGCTTGCGTTTTAGCTCCGGCACAGAACTTTTACTCAATGAGTTCCACGTAGTTGGCAGGGAACATTCCAAAGTGCCCGTCTGGACCAAACCCGCGCCACCAGCCCTCGTCGATCATCTCAATGTTGGTGATGATGTTCTCAGGGTCAAAAGAGATCTCAGTGTCGTCAGCTGAAAGGCAAATACAGGCAAGCTGAAACAGCGAATAAACACCTGTGACCTAGCAAGTGTACAAACCTCACATTTGCATAAACATTGTCATACAACAGTTCTAGTTTTTTCTTATTTCTTAGAAACATGACACCAGATTGTCATGAACCCAATTACACCAGAGCAGACTGCTTTTCCACTTGCTATTACAGTGGTGCCTTGCAAGACGATTAATGCGCAAGACGATCGGTTTTTGCGATCGCTGCTGCGCTTCGCAAGACAATGTTTTCTATGGACAATTTTCGCAAGATGATGATTTTTCCCCATTGGAACGCATTAAATAGATTTCAATGCATTCCAATGGGGAACCACGTTCCACAAGATGATGTTTTCGCAAGACAGCATTTTTCGTGGAATGAATTAACATCGTCTTGCGAGGCACCACTGTATTTATTATACTGACTAGCAGCAACTCTTTAGGATTTCAGACAGAAATGTTCTGTATATCACTGTTTACCTGGTCTTCTCCCATCCTGACTCCCATCCTGATGTACTGGAATTAAACTGGGACCACACACACAGCCACTGAACTACAATTTCTTGCTTTCATCCATAGCATGGGCTCAAGAAACAGCAGGTGTCTATTGCCCGATATAACAAAGTGAATCCCTCCTGATCTGGTTAGACTGGAACTCCCAGCATTCCTTCCCCATAGGCTATGTGGACTACAACTGGTGGAAACTGGGAGGCCACCATCTGGAAGACTGCACATAGCTCACCATTGCTTTAGAAAGATGGCTGAAGTCTTGCCATTATGTTTTGTTATAACTTTAAATGCCAAAGAAGGGCCAAGAAGCAGTTTGATTTATGAAGTAGGCTGTTTTTTGAAATTTTAGCCAGGCAATGTTCTTTATCATGTAGTGGTTTCCAACATTCCATTCCACATGAGATTGCCTGTAATAGCTGTCCAGAAACTTGAATTAATGTATTAGCAGTATTAATTCTTAACAAAGGGGAATTAAAAGAAACATTATTTCAACACCTCAGTGTTGTGCATAAAACATTTATAAGCCTTTCAGGGTTAGTTTCAACTTGTTATTTTAGAAAAGGAAAGCTGTCCATATATGACTACAAATCATATTCCAGTATATACTGTCATGAGTTTTAAGATCAGCTAATAATACTATTATTGAATAAAGTTAAAGGATGTAAGAACTCTGTAAAAGGAAGGAAGAATGCATTGAGGCAACCCCACAGTGCTTTAGGCTGTAATCAAGAATCACTATCGCTAATTTTAACATACAACTACAATGCACAACAAGATGAAGAAATATTTCTGCCTCAGAATTAAAGCATATATCCGACTCCTAAGAATTCGTCCAGCATTTTTTTAAAAAATTAGATTTTTAGTTGGCTAAATGGCTACAGAACGACACTTGTTAACCACTGGAAAAGGAAAGGATGTCAAATGTAACTCAAAGGGAGAAAGATTTTTATGCTCCAGAGCTTCTTGCTCCTCTACCTTGATTTCTCATTCTTTGACTCCCACAATGTCCTGTGATCTCAGCAATCCTCTAATCAATGGATTAGGGCAAATTGCCTCACCTAATATGTGTGTGGCATGGTTTCAAGTTGCTACTGCTCCTGTTTACATCAAAAAGAAAACATCCCCATAACATAATCAATTTCATTTAATGAAATCTGAGGATAAAATAGCAGGCAGACAACTTATTCTGCCAGTAATCTGAACTTCTTGCTTGCAGATTCCCATCATGAGTTGTAAACCAGTATATCAGGAGTGGGCTACTTTGGAGGGTCTGGGTTGTCAGTTTCCTCTACCAAGGGCCCATTCCTCTATGAGTGGCAAAACAGTTGTTCTTTCTCGGATACATGTGAACGAAGGTATTTGGGTTAATGGAAAAGACTGACCAGACAGAACATACCGGCCTGATAGTCATACAAAGCTCGAGCACATACACCTTTCCCTTCCAAGTTAAGATTTTGTTGGTAGTTATCACTGTATTCATATTTATTGTCTTCAGGCAGCTCCTGTAGATGAAAAAAGAAGGGAGCAGGATATGTCAAATGGCATAGTCAACTACCAAAACCATCACACTTCAATATCTTGCAGCTAAAATCTAAAAAGAAAAAGAAAAACACAGAAGTATATGACACCTTTTACACACACACACACACACACACACACACAGAGAGAGAGAGAGAGAGAGAGAGAGAGAGAGAGAGAGAGAGACTCTTTGTTGGTGCAACCAAGAAAATTTGTGAGGTTTAGAAATGTTTCACAAAAACATTTGGTGATGATTCTACAATTCCAACTTTTTGATCATTGCTTCAATCTTGTCTTCAGCTTGAAAAACTAACTTTTTATCCTTGAAGATCTACGTTGAGCATATTTAAATAGGTGAAGATATGCTAATTTGACTAACCAGGAAAAATCTGTCAAACGATCGCTGAGGTAAAATTGCTTTTCCATGAAGAATAATCTTATCTTGTCTCTCAGTTCCCAAAAATGAAAAAAAAACCTTACTTCTTGATAGCCAACTAACTTCACATTATAGCAAAAGCTGATGGTGTTCATGTCCACATTTTTGCAAAGTTGTTCAAAAAGTCTTGAATTCATTTATTTGTTTTTTTTTTTAAATGACAATTTTTACTTATTCATTTATGGTCTGCTTCGTTTTTTCAGGTATTTTCTTAGCAACTAGAGTTTCCCTATGGATGCAGCAATGGTACCAAGTCACCAATTGCATGATTTCTTTAATCTGTGCTACAAGTCCAGTAAGCTTTCCAGACATTGTTCATGCCCCTTTCCAATGCATTTCAACCAATTCATGTCATGAGATGTTATAAATTCATTTAAGCTGTTAAATACTTATTTATCTCATGCTCATATCTACCGTAACACAGTACGGTCACTTTGTTATGTCTGTGCTTGTGTCCAATTGCAGCGGAAAGTAGGGAAATAACTGTTCCTTGATATTGGCTGACAAACTATCGATTCCCTTCTTCAACTGTGGCATTAGACAGTGGCATTAAAGGTAGGTCTTTGGCAGCTTTCTCACTGCTCAATGCAGAAACCATGATTTTTGTGCAGGTTATTTGGCTATTATAAAAGGGTGTCATGACTCAAAAAATGTTTGGAACCACTGGTTTAGGGACTCTCTAGGCATCAGAGAATTGCAGCAATGAACATGGAAGAAAGTCATATTTCAGGAGGCATACACACTTAACTGAAGACTTCCTTGTAACAAATAACATCACTATGCATATAACTGCAAATCTAAATAAAACATTAACTGGTAAATGAGAGTTTATTACTAAATAAGATAACAGAAAATACTAAACTACAGCAGCATAGCTGAAAAATGGCAAGAAATCATACTATTTTCAGTGATGCGACAAGTTAACTTCATAATACACAGGATAAAGGAACTGGAGGGGGCCTACAAGGCCATCAAGTCCAACCCCCTGCTCAAAGCAGGAATTCAAACTATATCTAACAGATGATTGTTTAATTTTTTTCTTAAATAGTTCCAGCATGGGAGCACGCTCCACCTCCGAAGGCAATTGGTTCCAATGTCATACTGCTTCAACAGTTAGGAAGTTTTTCCTGATATTCAACTGATATTTGGCCTCTTGTAACTTGAGCCGTGTCTGACTCCTCTGGTCCATGGGGTCACGAAGAGTCGGGCATGACTAAACAACCACAACTTGAGCCCATTATTACATATCCTGCACTCTAGGATGATCAAGATCCTGACCATCCGCTATATAACAATCTTACATATCCTGCACTCTGGGATGATCAAGATCTTGACCATCCTCTATATAACAATCTTGTAAATACAGTGGTGCCTCGACTTACGAACGTCCTAACTTGCGACAAATTCGAGTTATGACCAGCTCCGGCTGCAAAATTTTTCTTTGGCTTGCAATCAGAACTTTGAGATACGACTAGAAAAAAAGGCGGGGAATTTAAACTGCTAACTGTTGGTCGGGGAAGGAGCTACAGCTTCTCTGGAGCTCCTTCGCCCCAGTGGTTAGAGAGTGTGCATGTGCTGCAGAGTTTGTTATTAGCAGAGAAGCCAGGCTCGTTTCCAGGTTTAAAATGGAGGACTGGCATGAAGCAATACATCAACACTTGCAATCAACCCTGAAGTGAACATTTTAAAAGGAAAAGAAAGGAAGGACCCCACTGGCACCCATTGCAGGAGCAAGGCAGCTCCCCCTACCTCCCCAAACCTTGAGGAACGCAGAGCGGAGGAGAAAGACCAGGACCGACTCTTGGCCACTCAGTCTGGCAGTTCAAGCCCACACTGGCTGGGAAAGTTTTTTTGGAGGCAGAACGAGATGGGATGCCCTTGCAACCCGTGTTGGAAAGGGACAAGAGGACGAGCCCACACTGGCCGGGAAAGTTTTTTCGGAGGCAGAACGAGATGCCCTTGCAGCCCATGTTGGAAAGGGACAAGAGGGAGGGAGGGAGAAGAGGATTGCCTTTCAGTCGCACCCTCTTTTTCTCTCCCCAACACCCCACCCCCACTGGAAAAGTCCACGACTGGGGCCCTCTCCTCACACCCTGCGACTCCATCCCTGCTCAGCTCTGGCCACTCCTCTCTAAGTAGCACACAGGCAGCGGCGCAAGGCTGAGGAGGCGCCTTCAGCAGGTGGCAGAGAGGCAGAGGAGAGGGTCAGCAGGAGGAGAAGGAGGAGGGCAAGCTGCTCCGGGTCTCTCCCTCCCGCACTTTCTTTCCAGCAGCTGCATCTTGTGGGGAGGCACCGGCCGGGAGGCGGGCAAGGCAGCGACTCTCCCAAGCGGGGCCGCCCCACCCACACACCCTTCCCTGCTGCAGCACAGGCTTCCCCAGTCAAGGCTGGCACCAGAGTATGCGAGCACCAGAGTATGCGCCAGTGTGTGTGTGTGTGTGACCCAACAGGCAGGAACGTGCCCAGCCTGCCAAGGCGCCAGGTGCAGCTGCTGCCCAGAGGCTCAGGGGGGCGTCTCACATTCAGGTTCCCTCCACTCCCTGCTCCCATCTCCATTAATCCAATTAATGGATTAATTGTGTTTCAGTGTATTCAAATGGGAAATTGTCCTTTAAGTTACGATCAATTTGAGTTACAACCATCTTCCAGAACCAATTAAGTTCATAACTCAAGGCACCGCTGTATGTGAAAAGTCGTATTTTCCCCCAATCTTCTTTTCTCAAGGAAAACCCTGCTCATTTATTGCAGTCTTTCCTCATTCAGTTTTGTTCCCAGTCCACTAAATCATTCTTGTTGTCCTCACCAAACTTGTTCCAGTTTGTCACCCTCATTCTTAAAGTTTGGAGTCCAGAACTGGACACAGTACTCAAGATGAGGCCATATCCTGTTTTCCAGAGAACCAAAGCAGACAAGTAATAAGTGAGAGGGGACTTGTATTTATTTCATCAGTCTCCACAGCCTAACCAGTATCGAAGAGAGGGGAACTAATACTTCACTTTAGGACAAGGTTGTCTGTCCCCTTTTTTATGCCATAGGTCCTTTTCCCCAGCTCTAACCATCCTCCACAAAATCCGGTGAGGTAGGCTAACTTGACTAATACTGGCAGGTATTAGAGAATATTTTCCTAGTTCTGTACATCAATAGCAATGGCTATAAACAAATCATAGATTAATCATAAAATAATGGAGTTGGAAGGGGCCTATAAGGCTATTGAGTCCAACTCCCTAAACAAGTGATGTTAATGGAAACAAAATGGGAACTGCAAAAAAAATGTTGATGGTTACTCTTGTTTGGTGTTCCTCACTCATCTGCGCTCTCTTCCATCCTCCTCCTCCTCCTCATGTCCTGTGCAGAGCACATTTGGCAGCAAGAATTCTCCAATCTCAATCATTTACAACATTTTCAGCACCGTCCCAAGGAACTTTAACGGTTTTGAGATCTTCCTTGAGTATCTGATGCCGGCCTCGTTTTCTCTTTCCTCTAAGAGGTATCCACCATATTGCAGTTTTCAGGTGCTGATCTTCGGGCATGTGTAGGATGTGGCCGGCACCCTGCCATCTCATTTTTCTATCTTCCCATCTCCAAAACGGTAATCATTTTTTGGCCTCTAAACAAGTCCAATCCTTAGTGGTGGTGGGTTCTCCTAAAACATTTTTGTTCTTCTGCAAAGTTTACAATTTCTCCACATCTGCTGATATATCCACTTTATATCTCGCTCCTGAATACTGCAAATAGATCAGTGTAAAGCCAAATAGGATTTCACGTACAACATTGCAAAAACATACTCCACGCCCCATTTTCATCAGCCATTATGAACACTCTAGCATTTTAAAAGCAGTGTGTTTTGAATATAAGACTCCGGTTTACTTGCACACATCCAGACAGGTACAGAAAAAGACTAACCTCAGGGGGTTCATCATAGATAACTGTTTGGGCAGGGGGTTCTTCATACTCAGCTTCATGCTCCACCTCTGGCTGGTAGACTGGAGCTTCCGATTTGTAACTGTTCTGCCTGGCAGAATCGACTGGAAGAAGCAGAATAAATGTTTCTCTCTCAATCCATCAAATTTAACTATTGATTTCCTACGATCAGCATTAACTAATGCTCTTTTTTGAACTATCCTAACCCACACTGAAGAAAGCTCGAGACTATACATACTGCAGACAATCATAAGACATAGCCAAGCAGTTACACTACTTCCTTACTCTCCCTTTCTGTCTACGTAAGCAGCCCTTTACTCCCCCCCCTTTCTTTAACTGCCTAATAAAATTATTACAAATACCAACTGTTATTTGAATCTGTTCCGGAACAGTCACATATTTTTCTTTCTAAGGTTCCTAAATCCGAAGCTGCTAGCATTCCCTGACAAAAGATAAGGATCTACAAAACAGTGGGTCTAGGACACACATTGTGCAAGCAACACAGAGAAACAGAACAAACTCTCTATAGTACAGACAGAAACAAATCACACAGAGGTCACAGAGGAAAAACAAGGTACCTCTCAATCTCCTTCAATAAAGAATGACGGCTGAGTTAAGCAAGCAAGGCAGGATAGAAATATATCCATGAATACGGGCCCCATACTCTTGCGATATCAGTATAGGGAGTGCTACTCTACAGAGCAATGAGAGGTGGTTTTTCTTAAATATGCAGCAATAAAAGCTGCTTAGATCTATACTGAAGCTCACAGAGCTATCTCCTGGAGATACAATTCACGTTGTTAATGCCCTTTTTTGAAGCATAACATGCAGATGGGGCAAAGGATTTCATTTTGCCAGAGAAAAAGTTGGTTAACTTGCTGGAGATGAGATTTATGGATCTGTGTAGGATGAAGAACGTGCTGCAGTACATAAAGTAGGTCCAAGCAAGAGTCATCCATCCTAAGTAAAAGTGCAAGGTTTGAAAGAAAACCAACTTAAACTGAACTTCTAATGTTCGTAATTGACTCCTCCAACCTGCAGCCTCACAAATGGGTTGACCACACTGACTGGAGATAAAGGGACTTGGATGTCAGGACACCCAGTATGAAAATCCTGATGCAATCAAGGAACTGAAGTCACAAGCTCTCTCATAATGCTTTACCAAGTTCAGCAGCAGGAGAGACTGCAGGCATATCATGGACAGTTGGATGAACATCAGAAGGCAGGTGAACATCTTGAGCAGCAGGACTGACATGGGATAGGGAAGCCTCTGCTCGACTGTTTTCCTGCAGAAAGGGACTCCGCAACTTGCCTATGAAAGGAGGCAAGTCAATACAAAAATACGAAGTGGTGAGACACAAATATCTTACTTCCACCATTTGCTGAGCACACTTTGGACACGTCATTTGATTCAACCTCATTTACTGCATAAATCAGGAATGGGGATCATGTGGCCTCCTAGATGCTTCCGTGACCTTTCCACAGTTGTTATTGCTGCAAAGGTCGAGAGGGGTTGCAGTCCAACAATATTTGGAAGGCCCTGCATTCTTCAACCCATGGCCTGTAGATAATTCTAATTACTTTCTTCAGACCTATGTTGAGAATTAAGGTGGCAACACCTTTGAACCAAGCCTTATGATGCTAAACAAACTACACATCAATGCAAGCAAGCTCAACATTCCTCTGATAACTCAGTTCGGAAACTATTCCAAACCACTATGTTAGTTACAGTATAAAAACTGGATAGGTCAAAAATATCAGATTCATTTGACAGGGAAGCAGAAGAAAACTCTCAGGGGCTTGGTCTAAGCTCTGGAAATCCATTCATTCCTTCATTACGATCAACAGTGCAGAACCTCGTTTTCCCCACGGAAAACTGCTTGGCACCAAGGCTATATTTTACCTTGCCAGGACACACTCTGAACCTCTCTTCTTCCTTCCTCTTCTGCATGTCCTCTAGATCAGTGGCCCCTGACCTTTTCCCAACCGCAGACTGGTTGGGGTGTGTGTGTCGTGCCTGCAGGGGAGGGCCACTCACATGCATGTGCACAAGGCACATAGAGGGTGGACCATGCTCATGCACATGCAGACAACAGAACTCGTGGGGCACACTCGTGGGGCGTGCTCGCTGGGGGGGTAGGAGATCTGTGTCCACAGTCCGGTCCCAGATAAGCTGCGGACTGCTGCCAGGCCACGGACCGGGGGTTGGGAACTTCTGCTCTAGATGGTGTAACTGGCCTTTTATCCAGTCCCATCTGCCCCACGCTTCTCTATTTTGGTGCAGAGAAGATTTCTCAGAACTAGAAGTGACTGGGTGGTTACTTTGAAGTTTTGAAAAGGACCTCTATGGGCCTCATTCTGGTGCCAGTTTGGCAAAATGGCCGATTACATACACCACATGCTGCAGTCGGCTGTTTTGCATGGAAGAAAACAGGGGGTGTTGGGACTGACTTCTGAGATCTCAGGTGGGCAAACACAGCCTGACTGTTTCAATCCTGCTTGCATGTCCACTGGTCTTAGCTTTTAACTCATTGTCGGTATTAAGACTTCTTGCAGTTCCATGATAATGCTGTTTCATTTTGCTTCCAAGTCTTCTAGACTGCGCCCACCTTCAGGAGCTAGGGAGTACTGATAATGCTGTTTCATTTTGCTTCCAAGTTTTCTAGACTGCGCCCACCTTCAGGAGAAAGGGAGTACAGAAAGGGAGGATGCCTTAGTTTTGGAACCATGGAGAGAAATAAAGGGTGGCCTGGATGTGGGGCACACATAAATCTTACTCCTCATGTCATCTTCCTACCTGGAAGTCATTCAAACTGCTGAGTGAGAAAAATAAAGGTCTGAAGTGGAGCTGGTAAACACATTCAGCTAAGCATGCCTACAGAGCATGATTGGGGCTCTTTCTAAGATAGAGCTCTTATCACAGGAGTTGTGTAAGCATGTGTGGAAACTATGGAAGAGAGCATTCTTGCTTAACAAGGGAATTATCTGGACAAAACAGCCCATCTCCAAAATTCATATGGGAAGACGAATACACTGCTAATCCTTCCTTTCCTAGGTTGTACTTTGCCTTTGGACATCAGACCCAAACATCTAACTCTACTCTGGAAGTTGAAAGTGCAAAGACATTGCATTCCGTACAAATAAACAAGGGGACGACAAAACACACCCTGTAACATAACTAGTGTGACTGTCCCTCATGTTCCCTCTCTCAGACACCCCCCCCAATTCTGAACAACAAGGAACAGCGCTACCATACACAAAAAGATACACACATCCTTCACAGTGCTGGAAAAAGCCAAGTGATCCATCGCAACTGCTGGCCAAGCACTCATGATTACTTCTGTGTTGCCAGGTAACATCACAGGTACATGGATGAGAATAAGATGTGCGCATACACAAAATTCCACTGCTGCTTCAGTGGGGTGAGGTACAATATATAGTCAGTCACTGAAATGCCACTCCTCTGCCTCCATGTCGCTGTGTGCTGGATTCAAACCCGAGATGATATGCATGCAAGAGCATTCAGCCGGGATTCTTCTTCCAGCCTCTGTACTCCTAGTAGGTACAACTGGGAGCTAAGAACAACTTCAACTATTTTAACTGCTGCTATGGTTGGAATAGTCTGTGGACCTTGCAGTGGAGTTTTAAGTCTTCTTTTGCCTTAGATGTGTGTGCCAGGTATGCAAAAAGTATAAGGAAGGTGCAGATCTTCCCACTGGTGTAATTGCACTCCGATTTCCTTGCTTCTCAGCCTCACTCACTACAGCAGAGGTGTGCAAAGTATATCCCATAGGCCAGTGGTCCCCAACCTTTTCCAAACAGCGGACTGGTTGGGGGGGTCCATGCACAGGGGTGCATCCGTGCACGCATGTGCGGATGGGGTGGGCGGTCGTGCATGCAGGAGGGCAGTGCATGCAAGGGGGGCAGGAGATCTGTCTCCAGCAGTGATGCCAGCAACCACTGGGTAGCTCCCGGGGAAAGCTGGAACTGCCCGGTCTGGGGGTCCTAAAGGAGACCAGGACTGAAAGGGAGGCTAGGAGGAGTCTATCTGAAGCAGTTGGTGAGCAACAGAGGAGAGAAGGAAGCTGGGCAGCAACCTGGTATTTCTTCCCTCTGAAGAGATCACCCGAGCATAGATCAGATGTGGGAGCCATCTTAGGCAGTTAAACTGTGAGTAACCCCCCCCCCCGGAGGAGAGAAGAACAATTAAATACTATGTGGAAACTGGACAACAATAAAACAAGTTGAAGCCTTTGATCTATGAACAGCCCTGCAAAGCAGAAAATGAAACTAGAGTGCAAATTATTTGGCCGAAAAGAAGTGGAGAAGTGGCGAGCTTTCTTACCTGCTATCCTGCTGCCTCAAAAGTGAAATTAGCTTTTAATTGCTGGCTGACCAAGGCCAAAAAGGAGAGAGTGAGAGGGGAAAAAATTCTGATGCTGGAAAAAATTCCAGGGTGAAATAAATAACAACAGACAGGACTTAAAGCTCTTATCAGTAAGAAAAACAGATTGAAAAATAATTAATAATACTGTGCTACCAGACTTCTCAACAGTATTTACACAGTGCTACTAAAACTTGGGAACTGTATAATATCCCTGGGGTGGGGAAGCCCTGGGAGATCCGCCTTCAGAGGCTATAGCTGTATATTATAAACTGTGATGACGCTGTTAGGGAATCTGGAACATCGCATTGAGGATGGAATTGTAAAATATTGAGATTTGAAATCCTATGATTCTTGTTAGCGTGGACTTTCTGGTGGTAGAGATTGAGAGACATAACAACACTTCTAGGATTCTTGAAAAGAAGGGACATTTTTGCCATGGTTGTATCTTAATTTGCTAGTCTTGAAGCTGATTTATATATCATGATATTGATGTAAAGATCAGAGGAAGATTCCAGGGGGGTTGTTGGTTGTGGGTTTTGTTTGCTGGTTAACTAGTGTAAATTTCTGAAAGAGCAAGTGGCATACTTGAGGTTTGAACATTTTGGTGAAGGGTATAGTATAATTCACACAACCTCTATTCAGAGATAGTAGGAGGAAAATTGAGATATTGTTACTGAAAAGATTGAAATGGCCTCCAAGAAACCAAATCCTCAAACACCTGGAACTTCTCCTGCTCAGTCTCAAAATCTGGGAAAATTAATGGCACAAGAACCAGATAAAGAATTGCAGACTACTATGCAAAACTTACTAACAGCAGGATTTCAACAAGTAAATGAGCATCTCAACCAAATAGTAGATCAGCTGAAAGAGATTTCATTGCAGATCTCAGATGCTAAACAACAGATAGCTAAGAATAAAATAAAGACACGAGAGCTTGAGGAAAAGGTGAAAGGAACAGATGCTAAAGTGAATCGAACAGAAGAAACATTAGAGGCGGTACAGAAAGATCAAAAACAAAGTGAAGACAGATTAATAATGCTAGAGATGGAGAGAGCATAGAATATATTTAGATTACAAAGTGTGGCAGAAAATGAAGGGGAAGATCTAGTGATACTAATGAGTAAGGCTCTGGCTGCAGAAATAGGGATGGAAACAGCTGAACTGCAAAAATCTTTTGAGGCAACTTATAGGGTGAGCTCAACGTATGGGAGGAGAAATACCCTCCCCAGAGAAATCCACGTGAGATTTACGAATAAATCAATTAGATACAAGGCTTTAAGTGCTATGCAAGATAAACAATTGATAAGAGAAGGCAGAAAAATGAATGTCTTAAAACAAATTCCCTGGTCAAGAATTGATGCATGTTGGATCTCAAAAATTAGCAATACTCTCGTTATATGTGCTTAAGGCCTTTGATCATGTAGAATTGTGTTATGTGTTTGAATTATTAGAAAAAATGAACATGGGTGAAAAATTTATTCATGTCTTAAAAATTATATATGGGGGCGGAGGCTAAAGTACTCATCAACGGAACAGAATCAGACATATTTACTTTATTTAGAGGAATGTGACAAGGTGTCCTCTTATCCCCAATTATATTTGCAATCGTATAGAATCACTTGCTGCACAAATAAGAGAAAAAGAAAATATTAAAGGCTTGGTGTTTAAAAATAGAAAACATAAAATAAACCTTTAGGCAGATGATATGCTTCTATTTCTGGAGAACCCAATACAAAGCATAGAAACACTAAAACAAATATTACAAGAACATTGTTATTATACAGGCCTAAAAATTAATTATCAAAAATCCAAATAGTTATATATAAATATCTCTATAGCAGAACAAAAAGAAATTAAAAGGAAGTCAAATCTGGACTTATATTATTCACATTTCAAATATTTGGCAATTTGGATAACAAAAAGTATAAACCAATTAATACATAGAAATTACAAAAAATATTCAAATCAATAAAAGAAAAAATCATAAGTTGGACTAAATTGAATATATCAATGTTAAGAAGAATAGCATTTTTAAAAAAAATTCAAAATATACCACTACAACCTGAAATTTTAAAAAAATTAAAATATGGCAAAAAATCTAGAAAGGTTTATTGGCTGAAAAAGAGAAAGAATGGATGGGAATATGGACTACATATCCATATAAATCAGTATCAGTCAAAGTGAAAGAAATGGTTTTGAAGGTAGGACACAGATGGTATTAGTACCCCACAAAATTAAACAAAATTAATGGGAGAAATCTCTGATAGGTGCTGGAGAAACTGTGAAAGTAAAGGCACACTAGAACACATGTGGATCTCTTGCCCCAAAGTGGAAGCATATTGGCGGGAAATAATTAAATGGATAGAAATATTGCTGAATCAAAAAATAATTTAAAATGAAGCTTTATTATTATTTTCAATATTTAAGGATAGAAATGAAAAATTATTCAATAAAGACCTAATTGCACTTTTTATTGGTACAGCAAGAGTTCAAATTGCACAAAAGAGGAAGGGAATAACTTCAGTAATATATAAACATTTGGATGAGAAAGCATTTCCCAGGGGTATGGGATCTAAAATAATATGGGAAACTAATTTGAATATCAATATATCAGAGAAAGAATGGATGGGAATATGGACTACATATCCATATAAATCAGTATCAGTCAAAGTGAAAGAAATGGTTTTGAAGGTAGGACATAGATTGTATTAATAACCCACAAAATTACACAAAATTAATGGGCATGTAATATTTTAAAAAAAATTAATTAGCTATGTTAAATTATGAGCCAGTGAATGTATAACGAAAGACAACCTACTGAAAGAATGTGTAAGAAATGTGATATTATTGTACTATAATTCTAACTTGCATTGTCATACTATGGATGTTAATAAAATTAACAATTTAAAAACAAAACAAAACAAAAAAAAGCTTAATGAAAGAAATGGAGCAAATACATATTTTGCCTAATACATTTGCAGACCATAATCCCATTTCATTATAATTGTGTAGCAAATCAAGAGAATTTAACTGGAGGCTCAGTACTTCACATTTAAAGAATGAGGAGTATATCGAGCAAATAAAAGAAGACACGGACTTCTTCAAACAGAACAGAAATACCAATGACAATGATTTGGGAGACAATGATTTAGTTTGTCCAACAAAGAGCAACAAAGCATGGACAGAGTTCCTACTCCAGTCCTCTGAAGATGCCAGCCACAAAGACTGGTGAAACGTCAGGAAGAACAACCTTCAGAACACGGCCAAAGAGCCCAAAAACCCCACAACCACCATCCGATCCTGGCCGTGAAAGCCTTCCAAGGTATTTGATAAACTTTTGTTGGGTTCAAATGAGAAAGCAATTAAGAAAATGTATGATTATCTGCTTGAAACTAAAATGCAAGAGGAGATTGTAAAAGAATGTATGATTAGGTGAGCACAAAACACAGGACACAATATTGATATTGATCAATGGTTGCAAATATGGAAAAATAATATAAAGCTCACAAAATCGGTAAATTTTAAGGAGAACATATATGTTTTATATGTGGTATATGACTCTGAAAAAACTGTCAAAGATTTATACAGAGGTGTCAAAATGTGTATTGAAAGTGTAGTATGTGATGGACTTTTATCATATGTGGTGGACTGGATAGGAGCAGTTCATACTTTGTTACAAAAAACACTGTTCTGTAATGATCCATTAACCCTAGAATTATTTTACTGAATATTATACCAGATATTATAGATAAGACAAAGAGTTATCTAGTTAGATATATAGTCACTGCAGCCAGAATTCTTTATGCTGAGAATCGGAAGAAATCAGAGATACCGAAGCAAGAGGAGAAGATTTGGGAAGCAACAGAAATGGATATACTATTGGAAGTGTTGAAAGACTGTCCAATACAAAAGGCAACTGAACAATGGGATTTATTATATAAATGGCTTGAGTCAGTAGACAGAGCTTGATTAACATGGAATTAAACTAAGAAGTAACTGCAAGTAGGAATCTGGAAGGGCAATAGAACTGTGGAAAGGTGAAAAGTGGACTTGATATTGTAACGTGAACAACAGGATTTGGTGACAATATATTTTATGTTCTTCTTCTCTCCCCCTTTCCCCCACATTCCCCTTACCTTCTGCACTCCTTACACTATCCCCAGCTTAAAAAATAATTTTAAAAAAAGTAAATAAAAGCCCCTGCTACAATTCTTGGGGGCATGTGACTTAAGACGCTGCTTACATTATGAAACTGGATTTCAGTCATAGTCTATTTAACAGTACTTTACAACGGGTTCCAGCAAACTTGCAACAGCAGGGGCGCCAACAGATTTGTTACAGGGGATGGAGTGCAGTCACTGCAGCAGCATCACATTGTTGAATTTTAAAGATGCATGCTGGCAGCATGTCTCTGAAATCATGAATGGTGGCTACCTTCAGTACTTGTGTACTATGTGGGAGTCGTTCACATGAGCTCCAGTTGGTTGGCTGCGGTGGCTTTTTCAGTGATATGGGAAACAGATCTGTATTTTTAAAGAATTTTTTAGTTTTGTGTTTCTCTCCCCTAAACATGCGACAAGAATGTGGGACATCTCAAGATGCGGATGAATGAGACTACAGGGTGGTTCTGTCCATTACCTGGATGGGAACCGACAGCCGGCGCTTCTGTTGACATTGACCTTTCCTTCTGTTTGAAGATATCACGAGGATTTACTGATCGTTGTGCTATTACTGATGCTGCTTCCTGTGAAGAGAGAGAGAGAAAAATACTGAATTCTGAAAACATTCAGTAATCCAAGGCTGGAGAGAGAAACCTAGCAATTACTACTACTGCCATTATGCAACTTTGGTATGGATAGGAAAGTGCTGTCTATGGATGCCTATATATTATGTAGGCCCATTCACCAAGGTGGGGTAGTACAGAAAACAGACATGTAGCAGAAAGAGTGCCTGCCTGCTGTCCTTTCTAGACTAGACTATGGTGCACAGCACAGGAAAATGGTAAAAACTTGCTCATGACATTTTACTGAAATCCCTAGACACAATCAGCAATTACTTTGAGGCAAATGGTGATACTGTAAGAAGTCCCATATAGGCTGCTTGTAGGACCACATATCCCCATGTGAGCCTATCCCTGTTTTAAGATCTTCAAGGGGGGGGCTTCTTTTCAGCCCAAAGATTCTCACAAGCACACTTGACGACAACTTGAAAGAGGGTCTTTTCGGTGGCGGGTCCCAAGCTATGAAACTGCCTTCTACAGGAGGCTTGGTTGATCCCTCCCACCTTGTTAACAGATGAAGATCGATCCTTCTCTTTAGGCAGTCTTTTGACTATGGATGGACCAGGGCTGCAGGGAGTGTTGCATTTTTCCCCTTTAAAATTATTCTTTATTCACATGTCTTTCATTGTTTTTAATTTTAAGTTAATTTTACAAATCCTTTTATCGTATGCTCCAAATAATCTTGAATGCTTTTATTTATCTATTGTGGTCCTACCTCATTGTTCTCTTGTATGTTACCATGGGTCACTAAATTGTGAAAAAAAGTGGGAATATAAATGAAAATACACTTTATATAAGCATCATACACCAAAGTGTCACTCCAACACTGGTGCATATTTATCCTAAAATCGAAAGATTTTGTGAATGCTTGCAAAAATACTGAATACAGAAAATACCAAAGCTTATTAAACATACCTAGTTGTGAGGTCATGTATACAATGAAACAATCCCTTGTATATTCTTTAGCTATATTCAGTACTGAAGATCAAAGGAGGAAAGTACAACATGGAGTTACTGTAAGTGATAATCTTTTCATCCCATTATGGAGTATATTTAAAAGGAATGAGTATCTGGTACTTTTCCAAATCAAGAAAGAAGACTGCATTAGATTACTGATCAATACAGGATAGAATTTGTTAGAAGGCATAAATTATTCTGTGCAAGTTGCCCAAGATAAGGAAAGGTGCTCAAAAGAAAACAAATCATCATGCACAGAAAGGCTTCCCAAGAATCATCCTCTTTGATGCCAGGCGGAAAAGAGAACACAATCATGAACCCCAATTGGAATGGAGCAAGTTTTAGAGCACAGTTTAAAGTTTAAAAAAAAAATCAAGGAAGATTTATCAGCCAAGATAGCTAGAAAAAAAGATATTTCCATATGAAGTACAGGTAGCATCAGAGCCATGTGGTTTGGGGAGACACCTTCAATACACCCATTCTGAAATTAATGATTAAAAGGCAAGTATGCATAGTGCAGTGTGTACGTAACCATTAATCTACATTTCTTGTGCAAGCTTCCCACCCCATTTGAATCCAAGCTTTAGCCACTATGCTAACACTGATATTGAGGATACTTATATGCCGCCTTGTATTTATCTGACAATCTGCTTGGTGTAGGTAACCAGGAATTATATTCAGATATATGGTCTAGAGGTACAGGGGAAAATACAACCTTTCTCAGCTGCCTGAATTTCTATCCTAAGTTTGAAGGAATCAAATCACACTCCCTCCACCCCTATTCAGAACAGAAATGAAGACTGGAAAAATTAAATGCAGCTCTGTCTTTTATTCATAAAAGGACCTGGCAATGGAGGGAGTACACACTTTATCCTTGTTTAAAAAACTAGACAGTTTAAACAAGTACATACTAGAAACGTTTGTGGGCTTGTTTACTAGACTTTGTTGTACATGAGCTGAGAAATCAGCTCATTAGATGTGCCCGTTCAGGAACCTGACCAAGGTTTCATTCAGATTGCTTTGGATGAAGGCTCACGTTATGGAAAATAAAAGACTGAAAAATGTACTATGAACAACGTGGATGGCTTTTTGTGTGCAGCCACATGATAGATGGGGCTCGTCAGCCTTGGAAGGCAGCCCATCTAGGAGAAGGAAAACTCCGATTTCAAACCCCCACTGAGATGCCACCATTGCCGTCCATGCCGTGGGGGAGCAGGCCAGGTAGGTGGGGCTCGTCAGCCTTGGAAGGCAGCCCATCTAGGAGAAGGAAAACTCCGATTTCAAACCTCCACTGCCTTGTGGCTATATCCACTGGTGGAAAAGGCTTCAGGAGTTAACCTAGAGGCAAAATCCGGAGCCGGAGTACCAGAGCCAATTCAAGTCATTCTGTCAACTCCTGCGACGTCGCTGGAACCAGTTGTATTGACTCTTGCTTTTCCATTGGACTATTTCAGCGACGCTGAAAGGGTGGATTTGCTGGTTGGGTAACAGCCTATCCTCCATATTATTTTAACCAGGCTTAGTGCCCTGGAGAGGACACTCCAGCTTTGCGTACAGTGTCGAAACACTAGATGCTGTTCCAGGTCCTCCATACAGAGCACGTTGCGATAGTCTCTCGAGACTGAAGGATGGATATGTATGTATACATGGTAGTGAGAGGATTAGTACTATGCTTCTTCAGAACAGAGATTATGAAACTGAGCAAAGGCCACAGAAAATGATTAATATTGAAGTGGAATGGAATTATATGAAATAATTGATTATGAGGGGGGAAAACAACACTGGAAAATATAGATCTCCTAAATCTACAGTCGAACAATCAATGTATCTTCTTCAAAATTGATCAAAACTAGACATCTGGGCAAATTAAGGAACTTGGTGTTGTAGGATGTGCTGCAAGAAATAAGCAAGGGTGGCAGGACTAAACCATTACAGAACCACCAAGCTATTCAAAGCCACACAAGGTTCAGTGAAAGTATGCAAACTCTCATTTGGGGGCAGAATTCTGATGCCGGCATATTATGCACTATTTCATACTTGTCAACAACAGAAGCATGCACTGTTAGGAAACAGATCGTGTGCTAGGATAGATGGATCACAGTTCTTAATCAGCATAAATTAAGAAGCAGCACAAAGAGAATAAATACTGAGATGCAGATCAAAAACTAATGATTCAGTTAGGAGTTACAAGACCAAAGTTGCTGGCACCTGGCAAAGAATGGATTAGAATGGCTAAGGAGCCTTCCCCTATATACCTGAGCTTTCTCCACAGATTCACTCCTTCGGAAACCCTTCTGCATCTTGCTGTGCTCTTCTTCCTGTTCCTTCTGTAATATAAGATGATCCCCTTACGCTCGTGGTAAGGTCAAAGAGAGGTAGGCAGCACTTTGGCACTCTGCAAGATGGAACTGACTTGAAGGTAACTACAGGTCACTTGGCCAGTCATGCAACTGACCTACAGGAATGACCAATGGACATGATGAAATCAAAATCTCCCAACTGCACTAAAAAATATCATGGACCTTTGCAGACGGATACTGTAAAAAATATTTGCAGGATCCAAACTGCATCAGGCAATCTCAGAACATGCTATAAACTTCAGCAGTCAAGCCATGCTTTTGCACATTGTATTGCCAAACGAAACAGCTCCTCTACATTCAGAAGTCTTATAAAGAATTCGCATAGACCAACAGGAAAAGTGTGACGTTTTGAAACCTCACCCATTGCTGTTTATCTTTGTTCTTTAACTCTGCTTCCTGTTGTTGCTGGAATTTCCTGCAGATTTAAAAGACAAAAAATTATGTCAACCATGGCCCCAGTTTCTAGTACAATGGGTTCTTCAAAATTAACTCTTTTAACTTAATCTCCTATTAAAATGTGAGATTAGTACAGGTTGTCACCAAAAGGTGGGTAAGATACCTTTAGGAAGATAACTGAAGCAGCTCTACTTTCTGAAAGGTGCATCATTTTCTTCTTTGCTGGTTACTGTGCTTCCACTCTTAGGTATCTAAACTGCTATACAGCGGTGCCCTTCTTGACGGCGTTAATCCGTTCCGTTAAAATCGCTGTTAAGCGATATCGTCGTCAAGCGAAAGAAAAAACCCACTGAAATGCATTGAAAACCGGTTCAATGCGTTCCAATGGGCGAAACACCTCATCATCCAGCGAAGATCCTCCATAGGGGAAGCCATTTCCGACTGCTGTCTTCCGGAAATAGGTCCGGAAAACAGCGGGCAGCCATTTTGAAAACCCAACGATCAGCTGTAAAGATCGTTGCGAAGCGAAAAATTGGTTCCCGAAGCAGGGAACCGATCGTCATGAAGCAGATTTTCCCCACTGAAACATCGTTTTGCGATCGTAATAGCAATCGCAAAAACCTAATCGTTAAGCGAATTCGTCGTCTACCGGGGTAATCGTCAAGCAGGGCACCACTGTATGTTTATTTTTGTATTGCACAGAATGACTGTAAGCTTCCCTTGTAAAGACTATGATCAAAAGGGCAGTGGTGTCTCTTTTAAATATATTACAAAGGGATCCCCATTCCAAAAAGCAGACAAACATTTCATGGAGTTCAGTATGTGAAGATTCAGATCTTCTTTTAACCTTGAACTTCATTGGAAGACCAAGGAAAGTCATTCTCTTAGCCTAACTTCATGGGACTGTTCAAATTAAAGCACTGGCCTGTCCTCCTGGGAGGAAAGGGTGGTGGTGACGGCATTTACTTGCAGTCATAAATACATATACGTATTTGCAATGTTCTTTTTTAAAAATCTCAAGAGAGGCCTCTAGAGAAAAAAGAAGATTGCCCCATTCTGTATATAAACTTCACAGCCCTGTTCCCTGTGCACTGCCATTCTGGAATTCTTTATGCTACTTTAGGTATACAGAACATATAAAAGTAACAACCAAAACTAGAGGGGAAGAAAAGAGGAAATAAAACCATCTGTAGTGTTACATTTCTGTTAACAAATAATTACCATGGAACAACTTGAATAATCTTGTGACTAAGGTCTCTGTCTCATAAGAAGGACAACAGGGGACAACTGTCTCTATGTGGGGAGAGGAAGCTTTTTCCAAGGGCTGTGTTAAACGGAAAGTGCTGGAACTAGAAATCAGCACAGAAGCTATAAAGAAGCCCGAGATGTTTGGATGGAATCCTTTTGCCTCATGTCAAAGGCAACTGAAAAGAGAAACTCACAGGTATTTCCCAACAAATGAACCCTGTAACTCAGCTGTTGAACAACACCTTTCTCCATCTGAGAAAACTCTAATGGATTGCCAAATGAGAAACCAGAACAAATTTAGTCTTATACCAGCTCCAAGCTCTTACTTCAGTTTAATTATACTTGTACATAGCACATTCAAACTTCAGATTATTTATCTTAACTACAAATGTGAGATGTGCCTTACAACTGGACTGTATCCAGTTAGGTATATGAAGAGAGACAAGTTTTTACAGACACAAAAGGACTGACATGATCCACTGCACTGATGATTTGCTTGTGGATCTGTAACAATTTTCACAGGAAACAAAGAGATAAATAAAATGAAAACCCACTCTGAGTCCTTGGATTCACAGACTGCCTATGAACCTCATTATTTGGTGCTTCCCATGTGAATTTAAGTGGGTTAAGAAGAAAAGGGCAACAATATATATAAAAAAAAACAAGTCAGGTCGCATGGAAATCCAACTCTTTGAATCTTGAATACAGTCCACTTGATTCTTAAAACTGAAAATAGAGGGTTCTATCAGCACAGGTACCAGAAGACAAAAATGTCCCTATACACAAATTCTCCTTCTGGATCAGCATGAATGCAACTGGCATTTCTCTACAAATGATCCAAGAGTGTGCTCCCAGATATTCACAGAAGCATAGAATTATAGACTGACGGAAAGGCCCAACCTCTTGTTCAATGCATGAATCCAAACCAAAGTACATCTGGCAGATGGTTGTCTAATTTTCTCTTGAATGCCTCTGGTGTTGGAGTGCTCACCACCTCCTGGGGTAATTGGTTCCATTGCTCTTAACCGTTAGATGTTTTTCCTGATATTCAATTGAAATCTGGCTTCCTATAACTTCAGCCCATTAATATGTGTCCTGCACTCTTGCATGATAGAGAACAGATGCCGTCCCTGCTTTGTATGACAATCTTTCTAGTACTTGGAAAGTGCTATCCTATCTCCCCTCAATCTTCTTTTATCAAGGCTAAACAAGCTCAGTTCTTTTAGTCTTTTCCAGAGGCCTTTATTCCCAGACACCTAATCGTGTTTTGTTTGTTTGTTTGTTTTGCCTTCCTCTGAACTTGTTCCAGTTTGTCGGCATCTTTTTTAAAGTGCAGTGTCTAGAACTGGGGACATGACTGCCTAGCTATTGCCAAGAGAGGGGAACTCGTAGTTCACAGAATTTGGAGGCGACACTCCTGCACTGTTGGCTCATATTCAGCTTGTGTTCCTGTTTATTTGCTCTGTTCATTTGCTCCCTTGGGTCTGTTTCACTTTTATTCCTCTCTTAGGAATTAGTAAACAGAAATATTAATTAAGAGACATATTGAGACAGCAAGTATTTAATAAAGTTCTTCCCTCATCTCCCCGAAATATGTTTTCTTAAACCATGTGGCCTCAGATTCTAATTTTTCTGTGTGTCACACAGAGACAGAAACAGAGACAGACAGACAGACAGACAGAGAGAGAGAGAGAGAGACAGACAGAGAGAGAGAATTTATTTGCTAGGAAGATGGACATGCTTGCAGAACTCAAAAGCAATATGTAAAAGAAAATGCTGGTCCTAGTCCTGTAGCACTCACATAAACACAAACTTCAGGAGCTGAGTGCTGGGATCCCCTGTTTCCCTAATTCGATCACTGCTTTGTCCAAGAATAAAGACTGTCAAGAACTCTGTGTTTTATTAACTAAGCAAGTGTTATGCAAGAGTTCTATGAAGATTAAACCTACTCACTTCTGAGCATCAATCTGATTGGCTCGCTCTTTAAATCTTTGTTCACGTAAAGCTGCTTCCTGCAATTCTCGCTCCCGACGCTCTTTTTCAAGGCGCCGACATTCTTCTTCTGCTTTCCTCTTTTCTTCTAGTCGCCGGTTCTCCTCGTCTTTCTGAAAGAGTGAGACCAACAAGTCTAAATTAGATGCAGCCAACTTTAGAGAAGATGAACTTATGCTAGATAAATAGCATCAGCTGAGCCTTTTATCCAATTTAATGGTGATATCTAAACATATCACTCCATGCCTATGATTCTAATGAAGCTTGCAAATAACTCCAGAAAATATCTGTGAGCTTAGTAGAACACACATCTTTCCCTCTCCTTTAAATCCAGGTTAAGCAACCTGATGTCCTCTGGATGATTCTGTCTGCAACTCCCATTAGGCCAGGCTGTATGGTTATGGACATGGATTGCAGTAACCATGGTCCAAAAATACTGAAGAGAACCTAGGTAGCTTATACCTTGTCTTAAGAGCAAGCCATGGAAAATGTATCAGAAGAACAAACTGACTAGTTGAGAAAGCTCAACCATTAATTCATTCATGTGATGGGCCTGAGTGCCACCAATCTTCACAGTCCCTTTCAGAATAACAACGAATCTTTATAGAAGTTTCATAACTACCACATCTGATTCCACAGGCCACATAACAAATTCTTCTTGCCTTCCTCAATACAGGTCTCTGCTCCAAAGTACAGACTAAACAGATATACTAGAATAAGTGTATAAAATCTGGACTAAAGCAAATTTGCAGCGAGAAAGATTTCCACAAGTATAGCTGAGGCTACTGGGGACATTGCTCTTCTCAGTCTAAATAAAACACATAGTTGGTATCATTTATAGGATGTTGTTTGTGGATCTCTAGGATTTAAATGGCACAAATAGGAATAGAAAGCTTTGGAGTACAGTGGTGCAACGCTTGATGACGATAATGTGTTGCGTTAAAATTGCTGTTAAGTGGAATCGTCGTCAAGCGAAAGTAAAAACCCCATTGAAATGCATTGAAAACTGGTCAATGAGTTCCAATGGGGGAAATACCTGCTCGTCCAATGAAGATCCTCCATGGGGAAGCTATTTTGATTGCTGTCTTCCAGAAATAGGTCCAGAGAACAGCGGGAAGCCATTCTGAAAACCCGCCGATCATCGTAATGTGAAAAAACGGTTCCCAAAGCAGGAACTGATCGTCGTAAAACAAAAAAACACCATTGAATCATCGTTTTGCGATCGCTATAGCAATCGCAAAAAACTCATTGTCAAGCGATTTCATCGTCAAACAGGGTAATCGTGAAGCGGGGCACCACTGTACATTGAGCATAAGCCATCAAAGGCTTCATTAGTTGGTTCTGTTTGAATTAAACTTGGAGGAGGAAGTGCAGGCATCAGAGTATAAGCAAAACATTTTTTCTGGATAATGAGAAACACTTGGGAGAGATGGACCTCTTATTACTGTATATTAGTACACTATAAGTACCTTTCTATAGATACTTTTGTATCAATTAGTCATTAACTGGCTGTTTCCTCTACTGAAGAGAACACAATAAGTTTCCTCTGCAACATCCAAGACTAAGCATACACTGAAAACTAGCCCAGTATCATCATAACTTAGCCAATGCAACCACATGGAAAAGTCTGAAATAAAGCACTTACCTCTGCTTTGGCCCAGAAACTATCTTTGCTGACCCTTTTAATCTCGGACAGGGCATTAGTTTTCTGGTATACTGAGCCCTGTTGTACGCAAAAAGAAAAAGAACACAGGTTTTTTAAAAATCCATGGTTTAATTGCTACTACTATTTAAATAAAATTCCACAAGCTGGCCACAGATGATGCTCCTTAATGTGACCTTACTCAGAACTAGGTAAATGCAAACAAAATACTGTGTTCAATTCAGTCCATTTCTATGGGTAATACAAATGAAGCCATTCCCAATTCCAACTAAATCTTGTGCATGTGGGAGTCCAACTTTGCAAGCAAGTACTGGCATTACAACACAATTTCGTAAGACCTTTCAATAACCAGACTCGTCACCCATCTATATCATTATTAGAACATGTCTTGAAAGAGAAAAGTGGAGAATTACATGCTCAGAAAGAAAAATTACTTATTAAGTGTAAAAAAAAATAGATTACCAAGCTGTAAGGAGTTGGCAAGACCGCTAATATTGATATCACATTGGCAAGACTGCAAGGAGGTAGCAAATACCAAAGAAGTGCTTTGTAAGGAATAATCAACATTCCTTAGTGATAAGCTGCCCTGTGCATAGGTAACTGCTTCGCTAAAACATGAGACACTGTAACCAATGAACATATATTCCTCAGGGACCAATCGATTGCTGCATACTTTTGTTCCTTTTTTAGAACTGTATAAAAACTTGAACCCTATTGATCTCAAGGTCCCCACCTTACTGGGCACCCAAGTGTGCACTTGTTATACCTGAATAAACCTGTTGCCCTTTCCTCCAATAAACTATCCACTTATTATTATTGCTCAAGACTTAGCATAATAGAATCAGCTAAGACACCGAGCTCTGGAAGTAACAAGATGTTGAATGGGGTTTGGTTGTACAACTGAACTGTTCAATTGGACTGAAGTGAAGTGAATCACTTGCAAAATGTTGGGGACAAGCAATTAAGGAAGTAAGGATAAATAGATGTTTTAAAAGAGGAAGTGGAACAGAAAAACTTTAAATGAGTTTCTGTTTAGCTAAAAAAAAGAGGAATTAAATATCTGCAGCAAAAATTCCTTCAATGACACAAGAAAAATAAAGTTTTAAAAACCAGGCAGGTCTATTAGTTAATTTGAGGTGGGTAGAAATTTTGTGCAACAAAAGATCAGTAATGTTTTAAAGCTAGATTCAATTAGAAGTAAAAAAAACCTCAAGAATAAAATATCTCAATTTTGTACTGGAGACTTAAACATAGATCCTGAATTGTGTCAGCTTTTGTTTGCTTTTTGCAGACATCAACATTTGCAAACCTGAGTTTAAAATTTCCCCTAAAATTTCTATTCCTTTCTTTCAGTAGCTGTTTCTTCCAGAAAGTAGGAATAAAGAACACTACCAACTGTCATATCAAGACATCTACCGAACACGCAATGGTTCTAAAATGTCACAGATGTTCATAACTTTAAAGCTCAGTGACAGTTAAAGACTAATCCAAAAATTGCATTACAGTTATTTTTCTTACGATACATACAAAAAAAAAAATCAAATACAGGATAACACAAAATAAGCAAGGAGGTGGAGAATCAATATTCGTAAAGCCAAGGAAAAGGCAATGAGGAATTCCATAACTTTAAGCATAATACTACAGTAGTTCCTGATTGTGGGTCCCCAGATATACTTGGACTACAACTCCAGAAATCCTGGCCAGCACAGCTAGTGGTGAGTTTTAGTCCAAGAACATCTGGTAACACAAGGTTGGGAACCACTGCTGTAAGGAATTAAACCCATCTATTAAAGAAGAAGAAAAAAAACTGCATGCAAGACATTAAACTGAGCAGGCAACTATACTTAAAATCTTAAATCTTCCAGGAACATTACAAAATGGAGGGAATGGAGAAGAAAAGGAAAACCTGTCATGTTCAGTTCCTGAACCTGATGTTAAAAAGTGACATTAGAAGCAAGAGAATTTTGTTACACAAAACTTAATTAATGTATTATTATGAATATGTGTCAAGAGGCTCAGCAGAATGAGAGGTTTCTGTTCTAATGTCTTCATTCTAAATCCTCAATCATGTATATCATTATTCACTCATATACTTATTCATTCCAATCAGTATGATGATCTTCATCCTACCAACAGGTAATTAATTAATTGTCATTAATATGAACATGCAGAGCAGTCTTGGTCACAAGTGTAATAAATATATTTATCTGATTAAATTTATATCCTCTCCTTTTTCCAGAACTGGGACTCAAAGTCTCTCACAACAGAATTTTTAAAAAGAGGCATAAATAAAAGCAATTCATTTTGTATTTCATAAACGCCCAACAAATTCATCACATGGCCAGAACATCAGCTTAATTAAATTACAGGGCATGACCAACTAAGCAGAAGATTGACCTCCTTGTTCCACACTGCTCCCAACAGAGAAGACCGTGTTTATTGATACAAACATAACATGGTATGGGAGTAATACACCAGCTGCTATCCATAAGCACATCAGTGAGCAATATTCCATTTAAGAAAGGTGATAACTGAAATTCCAAAAGGCTTACCAAGCGTTGTGAAAAGAGAAGGTGTGCATATCTTGCAGGAATGGACCAACCAATGTAATACTGATAATACGTCCACAAAGTTAGATTACTTTGTGGCAAGAAAGAGTTATCTCGTAGGGCTTTGCCCAAGTGTCAGCACAAATCCTGCACTGTTTGTGCTTTCTGCATACTTTCTGTGCCTTTTGGTTGGCTTCTGAAAAACTATCAACTTAGTATATATTTTAGAATTTGTTTTCTGCCAACACAACTCTCTCTGCTTTTACATGTCTAAAGAGAATCTCAATTGAAGACACTGCAATTAAAGGCATCACATTTTGCTAAGGCTTTCACGTACATTAATACTACATCTTAATGCTTCATATTTAGAAGAAAATAGTACTCATTCTATCGATTAAAAAAACCAGAAAAGAGGCACAGATAGCTATTTTTAAAATACAAAGCCTGATAATTTCACAATTCATTGATTACAGCAATTAAGTAAGTTACACTATGTATCGATCCCATATTTGCTTGCAAAATTTGCCATGCGAGTTACAACATTATTCCCAGGAGGACCACAGCCAGAAATGTTGCATTGGAGTAGCCGGAGCAAAGCAAGGGTGATAGGGATAATTAAATGAGATGTAGGTGAGATGCAACAATTACCAATACTTTGTTAAATAGGCTCTGCATTCTCCACCAGGAAATAAATATCTGTACAGGCAAGGCAAGTGCAGCCCAATACGAACAACAGTCTGACTCCCAAAGTTTTGAAATTGGGGAGCTTTTATTTAGAATATTTTGGCCACAAACAGGTGTTTTGAAACTGAAGAAAGCTTTTGTATTTGTAACAATAGCTCCAACACTAATATTCCAAGACAGGCTGGACGGTATAAAGTTGTGCATGCCTAGACTAGAATGCAACATTACTAGTATTCAGAGCAAGAAATGTATTTTGGCTGAAGCAAATGACCAGGGGCCCAACTGGTTATCTTACCACTGGATTCTTTCTCTCCTTTGCCACTAATCCATGCCACCAAAAGCTAGGAACTCACCACTGGTGCTTGAGGCCCAGCATCTTGGAACTTATTGCCTTCGCTGTGAAAGTTAAAGTTCACCCCCGATGCCTTAGCCACTTTCTCCATTATAGTCTCTGGCTCCACATCCTCGTCAGCTCGAGCATTTATCGTAACGTGGGCACCCTGAAGGCGAAAACAGAGGAAGATCCAGAAAAACAGGAAAGCTCCTCAACATCTCAAAGAGCGAGAATTTCCTGCTCATAACAAAATACATCCTACTGTCCTGTTTCTTTTATTTATTTTTTTCCTCCCTGATTTTCAACTCAGAAAGCTCCTCAAGAGGACCTACACAATGTGAAGTGACCACAGGGGCTTCTTTATGGAACACTACACCCGGCAGCCTCTTCCCGCTTCCACCCAGCAGTCGCCCTAGGCTGAGGAACATTAAGACTTTGTGTCCGTGTTTTCTAGTTTTCCTCTTCTTCCTCTCTCCCCCCTTTTCTTTTTGTGCTGCAGTACGTCCAAAGGCTGAGAGGCAAAACTCACAACTAAAGTGAGCTTCTGTTGCCTTCCTGTACACTGTAACAACGATGACAGTTCTAGATGCACAGTGTCATTGCTGAGAATCTTTTCTACTTGAAAAAGCAGCTGCAGCTACAAAAAAAAAAGGTGGGGCATGGAGAAAAGCACTTCCCAGCTGTTAGCAATGCTGAAAATCCACAGCTATTTTCTTTTTTCCTACAGACAAAACTAGAGTTTAAACTGACTGGTAGCCCACAAATGATAGCCTAGAGATTGGCCAAGTGTAACAAATGACGTTTCTTGAGTAAAAATAGCATGTTTTCCATTGTCAAAGCTCTTCAAAAAGCTTAATATGAGAGGATGGAACTTCAATACATTAAACAGTACATGACAGAAGTTGGTATTCAGTACTACAGGCCACACACCTGAATGCCAAATAGGTATGACCATATTATTTTCTACCATGATTATGCAGAAGTTCAGGCTAGACTTCTTTTTTTAATCCCACATTAGGGAAACCTTCTTCTAGGTTGCAGTTTAAAATGCCAAACCAGAGAAAGTTTAGGTGTTTTTGCAGTAGTTGGGAAAAGAGCCTTCACCCCATGTTAAAATATTATAAAGACTGCTAAATACTTACCGGTAACACTACTCAAAATTAATCAAATTTCCTATATCTGGGCATAATATATTTTAACCAAAAATGTGAGGTTCTTTGGCAGAAGTATTTTGGGTGAATACAACTAGGGAAAGTGCAACAAGGTATGTAGTGTGCAAAACTGTCTTGAAGATCTAACTTGGGAAACCAATATAGTTTTGATTTACTGGAATAATAAGCATTCCAGTTTTCTTCTAAGAGACCAATGTGACTTAATGAAAGAATAGGCACAGGCCGAATCTCTCACTTCTTTTGAGACCCTCCTCTAAAACCCACATTTTTCTTGAAGCCCTCAGTGGAAACTACTAGTTACTACTCACTACTGCAGGGATGAAGGGCCTTGGATCTCCAGATATTCTGACTAGAACTTCCAGGAAACACCCAAAACATTTGGAAGGCCAAAGATTTCCCATCCTTGCCCATCCTGTAGCCCGACTTGTAAATGAAGCTAAGTATGTACAGCTGAAACAACTATTTCCTGATTTGCTTTTTGACCCATCCTCCACTTCCCTTTCCTTCCCTTGTCATTTCCACTTGGGTCTAATTTTAGATTGAAGGATACCTGCGATTGGGAACAGTCCCCTCTTACTTTGCGAAGCATTATGAAGACTGGGAGTGCCATATAAATAACAAGCATTACTCATCAACATAGCAACAGCAGCTTAACAAGAATAGTCAGAAAAGGGGACACGGTTTCACCACTATGGTAGTAAAAGCCAGTAGCACTTGGCAAACAGTCACCCCAAATATCTTCATGTAAGTCACCTCTTGGGCCTGGCAGTCAAAAGATGGTCCGTGTACCTCCTAGCTGTTCTCTGTGCCTAAAACACTCCAAAAATTGCCCCTCTGCAGCTTGAATAATCTCCTAGGAATTTTCCAGCCAAATAAACTACCTCTGTCAGGAGAAAAATCAGTAAGTTTTTTTTTTAAACCCAACCTGGGATACCTGGGATATAGGCCAAGAAGTAAAAACATATCAACACAAGAAAAGTAAAACAGCTTAAATTGAAAGGATGTGGCTGGAACATCTATGTAAAATATGAGCAGTTCAAAAACATTTGAACCCGTTTTACACAATTTACTTCTTTGAGGGAACATTTAGAACCTGGTCTGAAGAAGACTGAATTTTGCAACAGCACTGGGAAGCTGCTAGGGTGTGTTATTGCTCGGCTTTGGGGAAGGAAGGAGAGACCCATGTCGTTTTTAAGAGTAGTACTGATTGCAGGGATTGCCTGTTATTGCTGTTTGTAATAAACAAACAAATTAGACTGTGTGTAGCATTCTCTTAATGTTCTTTCATACAAACTGACTCTGCAAGGAGACATCCTAGGAAATATCTTACTAACTTGAGGAAGTAAAAACGGTTTTTTTTCCCCTTTGTGCTTTCAATACTTGATTTTCACACAGGGATGGCAAATCCACTTATGTGGGAGGGCATTCAACTGAAAGAAAAGGATATTATGGAGAATAAAACGGAGATTAAATACCTTCAAGAAGTTTGCAACAGAGCTGACATGGTTGGCACAGGCTCCTTTTCTCACATCATTAACACCTTCACCAAACTGCCGAAAGAAAACATTAGGAATTTTAAACAGGGGCAATCATGTCAAGGCTTATTCATTTCATACAAATGGAGTTGCCAACTTGTGGACTGAGAAGATGAAGGTGTAAATGCCTCATAGTGTTGCCAAAGAGACCAGAATCCATTGGCACTAACCCACTGATTATGCTAAGTTAACCAATTATCTTGAGAAGACAGGCTAAACTCTAATCCCCCCAAAAAAGGTATAAAAAGAATGGACCACACTTTACAGTGATGCTATCCTGCAAAGCCTGGATTCTAAGCATTATTTGGTTAAAAGCATTCTCCTCTCAAATGTTACCAGGAACATCTAACAACATCCGAAAGCGTAACTGTTTTTCACTTATCAATAAAAATAAATCACAGGGAAAAAAATGCAAGCGAATTCAGTTACACATTTCACTATTCATGTGGTTTTTGCAAAGAGGTTTTACAGGGATTGCCAGTTGCTACTACTAAGGCTGATATAACTTCTGGATTTTGTTCTATTTTCAAATACCTTATTTTCATCCCATTAATTAGTCGTCGTCATTTAGTACAGTGGACCCTTGACTTACAGACGGCTTGACTTGCAGACTTTTTGAGTTACAGACTTCTCTGGCCGCAAAATTTAGGTTTGACTTGCAGACTGAGATTTGACTTACAGACCAGAAAAAAACCAAAATGGAACAAAAACGGCCTGTTACGGGATTAATCGGTTTTCAATGCACTGTAGGTCAATGGAGACTTGACTTACAGACTTTTTGACTTGAGAACCGCCTTCCAATACGGATTAAGTCCTCAAGTCAAGACCCCACTGTACAGCCAATCAGAATAGGGATTACCTGGACAAGATGAACCAACGCTTTAACTTGCTGGACAGAATCCTATTGGGGAATTCTGCAAGTGGAATTGCATAAACTCTGGCAGTGAATAGCTGCTTATTAATGAGTTCCTACTAGCATTCCTGGCTGCACAACAGTTGCATGACTTTGTGTGAGACCAGAAATTTTTAACTGCAATTCAGTTAGGCAATTTAGAATCACAGTTCACACAATTAACGTACTCCACTGTAAATCCCAAATAGGATTCAGGCCATTATCAAAAATTTTTCAAACAATATGACAACTGTCTCTGCTTTTTAAGATGCTGTCAAGGTTTGTCATCGCTTTCCTCCCAAGAAGCAGGCGTCTTTTAATTTCGTGGCTGCTGTCTCCGTCTGCAGTGATCATGGAGCCCAAGAAAGTAAAATCTGTCACTGCCTCCATATCCTCCCCTTCTATTTCCCAGGAGGTGATGGGACCAGTGGCCATGATCTTAGTTTTTTTGATGTTGAGTTTCAGGCCGTTTTTTGCACTCTCCTCTTTCGCCCTCTTTACAAGGTTCTTTAATTCCTCCTCACTTTCTGCCATCAGAGTGGTATCCTCTGCATTAATTAGTACCAAGTATTTAATCTTCTATTCATGCTTTCTCAACAATTCTGCTAGAAAACCATAGAAGCTTGACAACGTCCATGTTTTACAGTATGAAATGCATTCATATATTTTCTTTTTCAAAAGATTTAGGAAGATGATTTGAATGAATGCAAATATTGATTGAATAAACTTTTGTACAAAAAGATTAGACAGCATTAACTGCCCCAAATAATGAAACCAAGCTATTGCAGACTATGATACAGCCCCAGTATTACTATATATATATAAAATTATTCACTGTAAATCAGACACTTATTGCTCCTTCCTGCCATCACACATGGAAATTACTACATTCCAATCCCAAATGGTGGCAAACTACAGTTTGCTGTTTTGTCTCAACAGCAAAACTATTGTTTTATGCTTCCCTGCTGGCCAAGATAACATTTTCAAACAATAGAAGAGCTATCCTGTATCGAACCTCACTTCTGTTTAGCCCAGTATTCTGTTTCAGAACAACTAACCAAATACCTATGATAAGCCCACCATCAGTGTATAAGTACAAGAGCACCTTCCTGCTTGTGTTCCCCAGCCAAGAGTATTGACGATGGAGGCAATATACAGCCATCATGACTTGCAGCCGTTTTGACTTGTAGCCAGCTTTGTCCTCCATGAACGTGTTCAATCCTCTTTAAAAGCTTTCCAAGACAGTGGCCATTGCTGCATATTTTGGTAGAACATTTTCCAGTTTAACTACACCCTGTGTCTCCATTTGATTTCACTGTCTCCACACCAAACATGATTTTATACACCTCTATCAGGTTCCATCATGATGAATCTTTTAAAAAATCTAAAATATTGCAGCTTTTCCTCACAGACGCTGTTCCTGTTCCTTGATCACTCTGGTGGACTTCTGCATCCTCCCAAGTTCTGTAATATCCTTTCTGGCGTAGTAACCAGAGCAGCAGACAGTATTCCAGGTATGTTAACTCCATGGATACACAACTCATCATGATATGGGCAATGTTATTTTCAGTCATTTTCCTTTTGACCCTCAACATATATTTTCTCAAGTAAATGCACAATGGGTCAGTGTTTTTATCATGCCAGGCACCACAACCCCAGAATCTGTTCTTTGATCAGTCATCATCAGCTCATTTTCCATCAGAATAAATATGAAGCTAGGATTGATTGACTGATGGATTGATTGGATGCAATGTGCATCACTTTCCACTTGCTTACAGCAAAAAATATTTATCATTTTAATTTCCATTCTTGCAGTTCGGAACTTTTCAATATACCTCATTTTAATTGCAGTAGTTAATTTGGAAGCATTAGCTACTATGAATAATTTACAGACAAGCACAAACCACTGTTTATCAATTCAGATAAAACAGTGAACTACAATTTGCCACCAACTGGCGTGGGAATAAACTAATCTTCATGTGCAGGGAGTAAGAAAAAGCTGAAAGCACTCTCACATAATGAGAGACTTTGGACTGGCACTATTTCTAAACACTCACCCAGTGCAAATAATGTGATATTGAAGGGATTTGTAGGTTGAAGTAGGGAATCTATATTTATCTCCTGGATTTTCAAACATCACCATTTATTTTTAAAGGATTTTATTGCTAAGAAAGAGGTACCGTGTATTTTCCATAAGGAGGGATACATCCTATAATTTTCTTATTAAAATGAAACCACATTCTACGTACCCAATTGATGAGCACATATTTGGGCAAGCCAGAGTGAGGAGCTGTCACTCTGCAGAAAGCATACATCACTTTCCCACTGTTGAGTTCTTCCACCATCTCCTCCAAGCCACCTTCTACATTGTTTGACAAAAAGAATGAGAAGAAAGTTGGAAACAATGAACTAAGTTGATCAGTTAAAGTAAACACACAAATACAGAACACTCCACGCTTGCCTTTCCCAACCTGGCATGCTCCAGATGTGTTAGGACTGATACTGTTATTGCTCCAACGTCCACCATTCTTGTTGTGTAAACTAGGGATACAAAGAGTTGCAGTCCAACACACATGGAAGACAGCAGTTTGGGGAGTTCATCTAAATGCCCACATTATAGAGAAATGCAGCTTTTACTTCCCCAGACTGTTTATAAAGACAGAGGAGTCAGAATCCAAAGAGTGCGCATGCACATGTCTTGTGCTAGCTCAATGAAATATTTGGCTCCCCTCTTCCTTTCAACAGTTGAGCTTCACATGGCTGACAAACAGTTTTCAAAAGTCTCGTCAATGGGGCTTTCCAAACTCTGCTCGATTTCAAAAGCTGCTAGCCACATCATGAATCATTCAGAGAGCTTCTGTTTGAGCAAAACAACCCGAAAACCTGCTTCTATACACAGAAATTGTTCCGTGGCTATTTAGAGTCTGGCCATCATTCATGTAAACTTATCAGTAACAGACAGAATGCTGCTTTTGGACATACTACATTGTACTCTGCGGGAAAAAAAATCTAAAGAACCCAATTCAAAAATGTTTCCAGGAACAAAGTCACTATCCTCCAGAGCACAAATTAACAGGCGAGATTACGCGAGAAAAGCAAGTTCCATCTCCAAGAAGGAGGAGTCGTAATTCCAAGTAGTAAAGTGAACTGGTGAATGTCAAAACACCATCCTAGAAGTACCGACTGCTCTTTGATGAAAGCTTCAGGGACCATAGTATCAAAGTTAGAACAAGTTTCATATCTTACTGTTTTTCCCATAGTTCCTATAGAAAATAGTAAACCAGTGGATTATGTCTGCCTCCTTCTTCTAGCCTGTCCTTAACACACACTCTTTAATTGCCAACATCAATCTGTCCCCTCCCATTTTATTTTGACAGTGTACCTATAAGTTATTTCATAATTAATGAAATGTACTTTCTACCCCATCAGGGCAATTAAAAATAATGGATTCATTTGCATAACATTCTAGCAGAACCTTCATGTGAGTGTTTCCCAACATAATTTGCTGGACAAAAAGACATAACTGATGAAAAACAGATTGATACAATCTGGTTCGCTAGCTGATTGCAAACCACATATACAACTTGCAGATGGATGCATACATGAAGAAACCCTACTCCATGCTTACAGCCCGAATCAAAGTATGTTTTTACCCTAAGAAGAAAACCTATTCAAAACAAAGGACAGGAAAAGGGGTGCAAACATAGGAAAGTAAGGATAAGAACAGACATCCTAAAATATAATGGAAAGAGATAAAAACATATATACTGTACTCTACAAATAAACCCTTTGAAATATGGGGCAGATATGCACATGCATATAACTTTCTATCTTGTGTCATGGAATGTACATGTATTTCATTAAAACTGTGTCATGTTTTGCCCAGCTTCAAACATAAATTTGCTTTTGTCAAATGGAAAAAAACTTTTGATCTCATTGTCACCAAATACTGTATACTCACTATTACTTGAAAAGGCTTTTATTCCTATGACAAAAGAGTCTTGAAGCAGTTTTATTTTGATAGTCACATTTTAACTCCCCCGAATTAGGAGCCAGAGGTTCCAAAACACATGTCAGGATCCTCTTTAATCAAACAACTGGCACAACAGACAGCAATATAGTCTGATATTTTTGCCACTCACACAAGGTATCTATTATTGTGCAAGCAGGGGTGCTGTAAGTTCCATGATCACAATCTGTGCTTGTGCAACAGCATATAGGGAAATATGGTTTTACTGTGTCTGTGTGGCTTTCTGCTCCAATGATATTCAGCAAGATTACAACAAATGCTTCAAGACCAAATATTTCAAAACCAAGCTACAGATGAACTTTTATATTTTTTTCCTCATTCAGTAACTTCCCAAGAAAAGCTACTTCCCATTTCCTCCAGCTGAAGGGAAGTTTCTAGATGAGCTATATAATTCAGCATTGACATTCTCTTTTTCTGCTGCTTTATTAATTACTTCTAAATAGTAAAAAAAATGGAAGCCCTGTGAATCTGTAAAAGAGTAAATTCTAGAAATGTGCCATCCAGCTCCAGTTCTCAGAATTCCCCAAGAAATTATGGGAAAGAATTGTGGGATTTCAATCCACAGACCAAAAACTTCAGGCATTTGTATTTCTCTCAACTGGAGCAAAGTGTGACCTTCCAAGGCTGCATTGCAGGCCTTCATTTCCTGCTGTAATGCTTTGTGGGAGGAAACTGCTGCAATGCTTTCTGAGCATCATAGTCTCATTGCTCTTCATGCTATACAAAGGGCACCTCCCAAAGAACGACGATACCTAGGAAGCGCTGCAGCATTAAATGAGGGCCTAGCATGCAGCCTCGGAGGGAATGTTCCAAGTGAGTAAAATATCGAAGTCTGAAGGTGTGGGTCTCTGGAATACAGTTCCCTGGGAAATTCTAGGAGCTTGAGTCCAAAAAATCCAAATGCCATATCCCTAGTAAATTCTATCCTTGTATGTCATGAATATAGCAGACGTTACTCAGAAATTGACAGGCTAAGCGTCAAGCAATATTAACTCAAAGAGGCACTTGTATTTGAATATCAAACCAAACATGGCTTGTTCAAAGTTTGGTTTAGAATTTAATGGCATGCTCCAGATGTGTTAGGACTGATACTGTTATTGCTCCAACGTCCACCATTCTTGTTGTGTAGACTAGGGATACATAGAGTTGCAGTCCAACACACATGGAAGACAGCAGTTTGGGGAGTTCATCTAGATACCCACATTATAGAGAAATGCAGCTTTTGCTTTCCCAGACTGTTTATAAAGACAGAGGAGTCAGAATCCAAAGAGTGCGCATGCACATGTCTTGTGCTAGCTCAATGAAATATTTGGCTCCCCTCTTCCTTTCAACAGTTGAGCTTCACATGGCTGACAAACAGTTTTCAAAAGTCTCGTCAATGGGGCTTTCCAAACTCTGCTCAGTTTCAAAAGCTGCTAGCCACATCATGAATCATTCAGAGAGCTTCTGTTTGAGCAAAACAACCTGAAAACCTGCTTCTATACAGAGAAATTGTTCCGTGGCTATTTAGAATCTGGCCATCATTTATGTAAACTTAGCAGTAACAGACAGAATGCTGCTTTTGGACATACTACATTGTACCCTGGGGAAAAAATCTAAAGAACCCAATTCGAAAATGTTTCCAGGAACAAAGTCACTATCCTCCAGAGCACAAATTAACAGGCGAGATTACGCGAGAAAAGCAAGTTCCATCTCCAAGAAGGAGGAGTCGTAATTCCAAGTAGTAAAGTGAACTGGTGAATGTCAAAACACCATCCTAGAAGTACCGACTGCTCTTTGATGAAAGCTTCAGGGACCATAGTATCAAAGTTAGAACAAGTTTCATATCTTACTGTTTTTCCCATAGTTCCTATAGAAAATAATAAACCAGTGGATTATGTCTGCTTCCTTCTTCTACCCTGTCCTTAACACACACTCTTTAATTGCCAACATCAATCTGTCCCCTCCCATTTTATTTTGACAGTGTACCTATAAGTTATTTCATAATTAATGAAATGTACTTTCTACCCCATCAGGGCAATTAAAAATAATGGATTCATTTGCATAACATTCTAGCAGAACCTTCATGTGAGTGTTTCCCAACATAATTTGCTGGACAAAAAGAGACATAACTGATGAAAAACAGATTGATACAATCTGGTTCGCTAGCTGATTGCAAACCACATATACAACTTGCAGATGGATGCATACATGAAGAAACCCTACTCCATGCTTACAGCCCGAATCAAAGTATGTTTTTACCCTAAGAAGAAAACCTATTCAAAACAAAGGACAGGAAAAGGGGTGCAAACATAGGAAAGTAAGGATAAGGACAGACATCCTAAAATATAATGGAAAGAGATAAAAACATATATACTGTACTCTACAAATAAACCCTTTGAAATATGGGGCAGATATGCACATGCATATAACTTTCTATCTTGTGTCATGGAATGTACATGTATTTCATTAAAACTGTGTCATGTTTTGCCCAGCTTCAAACATAAATTTGCTTTTGTCAAATGGAAAATTGCTTTTGATCTCATTGTCACCAAATACTGTATACTCACTATTACTTGAAAAGGCTTTTATTCCTATGACAAAAGAGTCTTGAAGCAGTTTTATTTTGATAGTCACATTTTAACTCCCCCGAATTAGGAGCCAGAGGTTCCAAAACACATGTCAGGATCCTCTTTAATCAAACAACTGGCACAACAGACAGCAATATAGTCTGATATTTTTGCCACTCACACAAGGTATCTATTATTGTGCAAGCAGGGGTGCTGTAAGTTCCATGATCACAATCTGTGCTTGTGCAACAGCATATAGGGAAATATGGTTTTACTGTGTCTGTGTGGCTTTCTGCTCCAATGATATTCAGCAAGATTACAACAAATGCTTCAAGACCAAATATTTCAAAACCAAGCTACAGATGAACTTTTATATTTTTTTCCTCATTCAGTAACTTCCCAAGAAAAGCTACTTCCCATTTCCTCCAGCTGAAGGGAAGTTTCTAGATGAGCTATATAATTCAGCATTGACATTCTCTTTTTCTGCTGCTTTATTAATTACTTCTAAATAGTAAAAAAAATGGAAGCCCTGTGAATCTGTAAAAGAGTAAATTCTAGAAATGTGCCATCCAGCTCCAGTTCTCAGAATTCCCCAAGAAATTATGGGAAAGAATTGTGGGATTTCAATCCACAGACCAAAAACTTCAGGCATTTGTATTTCTCTCAACTGGAGCAAAGTGTGACCTTCCAAGGCTGCATTGCAGGCCTTCATTTCCTGCTGTAATGCTTTGTGGGAGGAAACTGCTGCAATGCTTTCTGAGCATCATAGTCTCATTGCTCTTCATGCTATACAAAGGGCACCTCCCAAAGAACGACGATACCTAGGAAGCGCTGCAGCATTAAATGAGGGCCTAGCATGCAGCCTCGGAGGGAATGTTCCAAGTGAGTAAAATATCGAAGTCTGAAGGTGTGGGTCTCTGGAATACAGTTCCCTGGGAAATTCTAGGAGCTTGAGTCCAAAAAATCCAAATGCCATATCCCTAGTAAATTCTATCCTTGTATGTCATGAATATAGCAGACGTTACTCAGAAATTGACAGGCTAAGCGTCAAGCAATATTAACTCAAAGAGGCACTTGTATTTGAATATCAAACCAAACATGGCTTGTTCAAAGTTTGGTTTAGAATTTAAAGCTCATAAAGTAGAGCTTTTTTTTTAAAAAAAAAGATAAAACATGGGGTACATGGGTGTGGAGTATGAAAACCAGCAGCCAAGAAGACACACCCCACCAACAGAATCCATGAAATTAAACAGTACAGGTTTTTCCAGAAACACGGCTACAGTTGAAACAGTAAAATTTCCAGAGCAGACACATTTATGTACATTTCTGGGAATGTTCTCACCTCCAGTTCCAGCTACTCTCAGGTCATTGCTGTTACCTTCATAAGTAAACAAAGCCCTGAAAATATCAAGACAAAGGATGAGATTTATATTCAAATTGTTTTACTTATTAACAACTAAGGCTTACATTTATCTGATAAAATGGATTCTGGTTAGTTAAGAGGTGACAAGACATTGTTATTTAATCTGCATCACTGCATTCTATCACACACTCATTATCGCCCCATCACAATCTGATCAATAGTCCTAGCAATCTTTAGGAAGATCTGTGGTGTGGATTCTTAAGATAATGCTACTTCTCGCTTCATTTTCACAAAATTACCACCTTCCATCTCATCACTTCTTCTCCCTTTCTGACAAATTCTTCCTCTTCAACCCTGCTCAAGCATCTTTGACAGAACAATAAGATACAAATTTAACGAACAGCTACAATTCAAGCTGAACATTTCTGCATTCCTCTCCACCTAAACTTTTTGACTGTTCTGGCCATCAATCCTAAATTACTTATTCTTTCAGAATTGCTTTATCTTATCTTCAACATCTAAGGGTCAGAGGCATCATGGCCTCTCCCAAGTTGAAGAGACCCTTGTCCAGCAGGCCAAAGCAAAGAGGCAGTCACGAAAGCAGCCAAATCAGGGAGCTGGACAGGGGACAGATTGTATTTGTCTTCAGGGTGGAAGGGATGGTCACTCTCGAATTGGCCTTCTCAGCCACACTAGACAGTGTTCCAAGTCCTTTATTCAGCGCATGTTACCACAGTCTCTTGAGACTGAAGGAGGCCTAATCTAATCTAAAAGGTCAGTGCTCCACATGTATGACCCGTTGTCAAAACAGCCCATATTTCTCCTTACCAGCTTACAGGAGAACTGCAACACACATGGACAAACTACTGTATGTACTCTTGAGGAACGAGTCATAGAAATGAAACAATACACAGGGCAAACATCTGTTCCTGTACGTTCACATTGCTACCGTATAGTGTTTCCTTTTTTCTGGCAGGGCTCAGGGGCTTTTAATACAAGGCTGATATTCAACCTGCCTTGCTGCTTCTTTATTAGTATAATAAACTGTTCGGCTCAGAAAATTCTGAAATGATGTATCACATGAAACATATATTTAACACAGAAATATACAACACAAAACACAGAATACAAAAATTAATGTACAAGATTTATGTGCCCATGAAATAGATGGACCCTACAGGGAAGGCGGGTATAAACAGATATATTTTCAACAGGCAGTTAAAGTGTCAGCTTGTAGGCATATGCTGAATCTCCGAGAGACGGGCATTCCATGTGGTGGACATCACAATGTTAAACGCTGTGTTCTGAATGACTGCAAACAGGGTGGATTAGAATCAGCGATTTTTAAAATTGATTTAAATAATGATTTAAATTTTTTTAAAAACGATTTTTAATTTAAAACATCTAAATAATGATTTAATTTTTTTAAAAAAAAAAAATGATTTTTAATTTACAACATCAAAAAAATCCATTTTAAAAAAAAAAAATTAAATCAGCTTGAAAAAAAATCCATTTAAAAAAAATTAAATCAGCTTGGTTTAAATCATATCCACTCTGAGTGCAGCACAGATCTAAGGAGCATGTGGCACCACCAGGAAGTCCTCCCTACATGGCCTTAAGAATCAAGTAGGCCTATCAAGGAAAAGGCAGGTGGGCAGATAATCCTGTCCCAAGTTGTTCAGGTCTTTATAAACTAATAGCAAAGCTTAAACCTAGCCTGCAGCAAATGGGAAGCCAGTGCAATTCCTTCAGCAGGGTTTTTAAGTGCTGCTGATAGGCTGCCCTATTAAGTATTCTGCACAAACTGCAGCTTCTAGACCAGCCTTAAGGAAAACTCCACATAACACACTCCAATCATCGCACCTTGTAGTTCCAGTGCCTGGATCCCTGTGGCCATGCCATCCTTTCTGTATTACTTTTCTTGCTATTGTGCAGCTGCTATAAAGGCTCGTGCCAAAAAGAATGGAAACACTTTTCCTAAGCTCAAGCCGACAATCCTCTCCCCATCAGTGTTACCCAAGTTGCTCATTATATCAACTAATTTACCTTCCAAGCTTCTCTGCTTGTCAGCACATGCTACTATGACAGCAAACATGGAAAACACCCAGTATACTGCTTAGTGTGTTTGTCCATGCATCTGCAAAGTGGGGGGTGAAGGCATGCTTTGAGTTATACTGCTTATCACAAACTCTCTTGCAGCCAGCCTCTACGTGCTCAGGCACATATGACAAATCAGTCTAAGCTACCACTGTGTCTGTGGCACTGTGATTTATAACAACACTGGGTTTTGGTGTTGTTGTTTTTTAAACCAAACTGTGTCTGACAGCATGAGCAGAAAGGAACAGAAGCCCAACCCTGCAAGTTCAGACACTGTGATTTATAACAACACTGGGTTTTGGTTTTTTTAAAAAACCAAAATGTGTCTGACAGTATGAGCAGAAAGGGACAGAAGCCCAACCCTGCAAGTTCACAGCTCCATGCAAAGTAATAAGGGGGGGGGGGGCTACTGTCAATTACACATCCTTCTATGGGAGAAAAACATGTGATCCTACGGATGGACTGCAACTCCTATCAGTTATAGTGTTCAACAATAATAGTGAACACTGATCTTTCATAAATTACATACTAATTTCTCTCTCACTCTCACACACACCCTTGAAGGGCCACAATTTGTCTGCCAACCATTCTAATGAGCCTTAGGTTGTGTCTTCTGTCCATTTGTTTCCCATGATACCGTCTTTAGAATTATGCAATGGTCATTGCAATCCCCCCTGCACAATGCATCTCAAGAGCAATGTCAGCTTCAGATGGGGAGGATAAAATGCCCTGTGGGAGACCCTATTCTCCAAATGTCCTATTTTCTTGAAACTACTGTATTACATACCAGTGTTTCCCTGAAAATGTGACAGGGTCTTATATTAATTTTTGCACCAAAAAAAGTATTAGGGCTTATTTTCAGGGGATTTTTTTTTCATGTACAACAATCTACATTTATTCAAATACAGTCATGTCATCTTCTTCTGGATGCTGCACAAGGGTGGAGGGTGGATTTTCACTTAACTGGGGCTTATTTTTGGAGCAGGACTTATATTACAAGCATCCTGAAAAATCATACTAGGGCTTATTTTCAGGTTAGGTCTTATTTTGGGGAAAATGGGGTATTAGCAAGTTCTCTCCCCTTAATGTCTAATCTATAGCACTGCCTGAAATAAGAGAACAAAGAAAATATTCTTATTACTGTTGACATGCCTGGAGAGGGTAGGCAGAAAGGGAAGGACAGAAGGATCAGGAGCAAAGGAATCAGGGAATTAGCAATAACTCCCCTTCTGGAGTGTAAGCCATGTCAGATGGTTCTATCTCCTGAAACTAGCTCGGTTCTAGCCTTACAGGAGGAGCCTTTTATTCTTCTTTCCAACACCAACTCCATTTGTATGTTCAGTAATCTGCACTTTTCCGCAGCCTCAGACCACCTACTCTGTGATCTTATCTAGGGCCCCACCATACTGGCTTGCAAACAGGCAGCCATGTTAGTCTTTTTCAGCATGTTCACAAAAATGGGAGAAAGACAAAATATTGTGGCTCCTTAAAGACCAACAGATTTGATTTCAATGTGAGCTTGAATAAATCAAGATCCATTCGCACAAATTCACAACAAGTCCGTCAGCAATTAAGGTGCCACAATATTTTGCAGCTCCCCCTCAACTTTTTTGTCAACAGGCCCTCATCCTGTACTTCAACTCCCCAGATCCTCAAATCTGCCTTCTTACTCTCAATTATGGCTTTGGCCATCTCACCATAATGTAGTGTCTCCCCTCCATTTAATACATGCACTGCACGCTTCTCTCTCACTCACACACACACACAAAACTACAAGCACATATGCACATGCACACTTCTGTGTATGCTAAACCCCAAATATTCCTCCAACACACGGAGTACCGACCCAATACCTGACCCAGCCCCACTCTATGCGCTGAATGAAGCCTTATCAGACTCTTCCTGAATAGTTACTCCTCAACTCCAGCTTGCTCCAGGGTGACCTAATGGCTTCTTCCGACGCAACCCCACCAGCTCCCCAACGTGCACCCAAGCCTCCTCTCGTTCTTTCTCCCTCGCTTGCCGGCGCACGCGCTCGTCTGCACGCGGTT